TGATAACTTTCATGATTTTATGCAGAAATCGCTAATGATCTTGCGTACTGTGCGTAAACGTGTGTACATATGCACACGTACATGTATACACACATACATGTACACACACATACATCCTAAGAGGTTGCACTTTAGGGACATTGCAGATTTACTTATAGAGAAAATAAAGGTCAAGTTCATTGTGACTTGATAGTCAAAAAATATACTTTATAAAATTAGTAACCAGGACATATTTGTCATATATGCTAGACTGCTATAGAAATATTGATTTATTCTGTATGTCTATACATAAATGAAAAAGCACCATAAACCCAATAAAATGGGCAAAAGACAGAAGTAAGCATTTTATAAGAAGATATGTGTCTGATGTTTTGCAAGTGTTGGAAATTATTTGATTCTACCAGCTTTCTAAAGATGTTGGAATAGCTAAACTCTCTTTGGAAAGTAGTTGGCATTATATCCCAAAATTGAACATTCACATCCACCATAACTTAGCAATTCCACTCAATGTATAGCAAAGGGAAAATCTTGCCATATACAGGAGTGTTCACAGCAGCAAATAATAGCAGAATCATAAAAAGAACCTAAATACTCTGTGGTAGAGTAGGTGAATAGGTTATTTGTTAACAGAAGAGTAGGGAATAAATACAATGAAATATTATGTAGTAATCAGATAACTATAGTCAACAACATTGTGAAGGAGTCTCAATAAAGTAAGTCCTTAAACATTACTGTGGTACATCTCAATAAATAAATCCTCAAATATTACCAATTTTAAACAAAACAAAAAATATATATATACAAATGTGAATTGTTCATGGACATATGAGGAGAGAGGGGACACACATATTTGTAGAAATAAATGTAAAATAGAAAACACGGGAAGGGTGGGCAGGGCTTCAGCCGAGCTGTCTTGGGCAAGGTGGCACAGAGGGTGAGTACAACTACTGTGTGGTTAGATGGAAGATGTCACCGTGGCCCTGCTTTTTACCTGGATGACTGGGTTCATGGGTGCTTATTAATATGTTATTAAATGTAGTAATTAACAAAAGAAAAGACCATTCATGGGCCAATGAAGATGAGCATCATGAGGCAAGGAGAATGATTACTACATTTCTGTATTATGAAATTCTAATTAAAGAAAAATCTATTCTCTCTATATATAACTTTGTAAATAGTATCTTAAAAATACCAAAAAATAGATAGATGTGACCACCAAGAAGCTGTACTCATGAGTGTTGATTTTTGGTCAACTTTAGGATTTCTTTTTCCCCTGAGTTTTAAATACGATTTTAAAAGCGTATTGCCTAAAAGGCATGTAAGTTTGCCAGGTGGGGAAAGTTTAGGGTTTGTCTGGATAATTAAAATTTTCACTTACTAAAAATATTGTTTCTAAAAAATGTCACAAGCACATTAGTTTCCTTTTCTGCTGTATTAGGAAACTAATTCTGACATGTATTGATGATTGGTTCATGATTGAATTTCTTATGTTGTTTCAATGTAGTTATTAGAAGGCAGTAGTAAAACAGTTATAGAATTTGCCATTTTCTAAGTACCTGACATAAAGTTGTTTTCTTAGGACTCCTCTTTTCCAAAAAAAAAAAAAAAAAAAAGTGTTTCCCTTTGTCTCCACTCTATCCCGGTTAATAGAAAAATAATATTTTTTGGTGGTAATGGGGTTTGAACTCAGGGCCTGGCACTAGCTAGGCAGGCACTGTACTACTTGGGCCATTCCCCAACTCTTTTTTTTGCTTTAGTTATTTTTCAGATAGAGTCTTGTGTTTTTCCCCAGGACTGGCAAAACCCACAATCCTCCTATCTATGCTCCCCATAGTTGAGATTATGGATGTGTTCCACCATGCCCAGCTCATTTGTTGAGATGGTGTCTCCCTAACTTTTTACTCAGGCTGGCTTTGAACTGTCATCTTCCCAATCTCCATCTCCTCAGTAGCTGAGAGTATGGATTGGAGCCACCACGGCTGGCCCTTGAAATTTTGTTACTTGAAGTTTTGCTGTAATTTTGCATTCTCAGGTTATTCTGGTTTTAGCTACAAGCTCTTCACATCTTTTAAAAGTGCTAATTTGCACATTTATTAAAATAGCTACTTTTTGTTATTTGCTAGGTGCATACTTACTTATCAAATGATCATAACAGAACATGTAATTACAAACTAAGGTCTGTGCTATAAAACTAAGGTGAAAGTGTTTGTGAGCATGAAAAGGAACCAGACCTGGGCCTTAAGTGTAAGAAGCAGACTTTAAACTGAGACCTCAAGGGTGACTTATAGCCAGTCCAAGGAGGCCACAGCCAGTGGAAGGGGCCAGTGTAAAAGAACTAGTGCAGAAGGAAATGCAGTGTGATTACTAATTATAAAAGTAGTGTGACAGAAGTGGAGGGAATAAAAGTTGAGAATTACAGAGATAGTAGGGGGCTGATTTACTCAGGGGCCCCAAAGCAACAGGAAACCCCTGAAGACCTTAATTTAGGAGGCTACTCAAGTCAGATTTGTGTCTGATTTGACAGCTACACTACAAGCTCTCCCAGTAGAGGAACCAACTCTTGGCCTTAGCCAAGGGCATTACAGGGAGGTACTCTGTAGGTGTTAAGATCACCGTTTGATAGCTGGGCGTCTGGCACACAGTGAGCACGCCAAGTCCTTCAGTACTGTGGACTGGCCTTTGGCGTGGGACTGCTGTGACGTCAGAGGCTTCGTGAAGTAACTCACCCAGTGGGATCTACTGAAGACCTGTGGTACACTCTGAAGAGCCAGCAGCTAATTTTATTTATTAGAGCTTTATTACTTCTTTTCTCTTATGCCCCATCTAGGATGTACAGAGCACAGAAGTGATTCATAAGTGTTAATAAATCAGATTAGTGGTAGCAGACACTCCTGCCCTAGCTGTAGGTTTATTTGATCAGTTTGGTGCCTGTCACGTTGGCCTTTACAAATTTCCTATGGAGTAAATTTTCCTTAAGTAATGGAGTAAGTAATATTTCCTTAAGTAATATGGAGTAATTTTCCTTAAGTAAAATTACCTTTCATTCATATGAAGTAGTCTCAACTTTATTCTTGTTATATTTCTTTGCTTTACATAAAATGGAGTACTTGCCACTTGGCTTATTTTGTTTCTTCCCAAAGACTAAAGATCACCATTAGAACTTTCTCCAGGCTGGTGTGGTGGGGCATGCCTGTAATCCCCAGCACTTAGGAAGCTGAGGTCAAAGGATCATGAGTTTGAGGCCAGCCTGAGCTACATAGTACAACCTGTCTCAAGGAAAAAAAAATTTCTCATTCAATTTGTAATCATATTCAATGCTACAGCTTTAACATTTTACTTTTTTCAAGTGTTTAATTTACACGTGATTTGTCCTCTCTTAATATAGATAGAATGTAACATATCAACTTGCTGGCCAAGTTTCCCCTCCTCTTTAATGGTCACCAGGCCCAACAGGGAGCACATATTTTTTTTTGTGCATACTAATAGAAGGTACCCATCTGAGCAGACAAATTCCCCTACTTCTAACACATCCTGTGTCAAGGGTGTGCTGTCTGGAGAGAAGCATCAGCAACCACTGTGCCTTTTCTTGAGTCCTTTTAAGGCGTGCAAAAACTGCACAGCTATCCTTAGTGGCCACAAGTGTGAACTCAGTGTACACAAGCTATTGCTCATACTCACCTAGACCACAGACAATACTTTATAAACAAAACCACACATTTTTAAAGGTAGAAAAATTATTCATTTGTATGAATGTCTTCAACTAAATCATTAATATTATATTTAATGCAGTTTTTTCTTACAGCGCTGGTGATCAAATCCACAGCCTTGTGTATGCTAGGCAAGCGCTTTGCCACTGAGCTTCCCCACAGCACATTAGCTATGTTTTCAAAGCTTTTGAAATTTGGTTTGGCAAAATCATGTGTCTGGGGTTGAAGTTATAGTTTTCAGGGAAAAAAATCATACTTTGTCAAATAAATCAAAGGTTCTTGTTTTTTAAACATGCCCAGCTTTGAGTGCCTATAAAATGCACTTATGCATATGCAATTTAATTTTTTATTAGGAAAAAATTTTTTAACATCTACGAAATTAAAGTGATGCATCTATGTAGCTGTCATTCAGCTTCAGCAGTAGCCAGTGTGTTGTTTTATCTGCTTCCCCCCATTTCCTCCTCTCTACATTAGTTGAAGCAAATTCTGAACTTTATATTTTAGTTTATGAACTGATTAATATCAAATTTTAAATAACATAAGGCTAGTAGCATTATTACGTCTAAAATATCAAAGTACTTAACAATCTCATCAACCATCTGGTCCAAATTCAGACTTTCTTGATTATTTCATAGATTTTTGTTGTTGTTGTTCTTTATTTATTTGAGTCAGGTTTGCTGTGTAGCCCAGACTGGCCTCTAACTTATGATCCTCTTGCCTCAGCCTCCCTATTGCCGGGATTACAGGTGTGACCCCATCACACCCAGCTTCATAAATGGTTTTTAAAGTTGTTTTGTTTGAGTCAGAGTCAAAATAAGTCTATCTAATGTGATTGGTCAGTGTGTCTGTTTGATTACTTTTAATATGTACCTTTCCCTTTCACTTTTTTCTTTGCATTTTATTCTTGAAGAAAGGGTGATTTATCTACTTCTTGAGTTTTGCTGGTTGTATGTATCTTTTTACATGTCCAAGATTATTTCTTGTTTGTATTTAAACATGATATCTCCTTGCCATTGACTGTAAACAAATTTTTGCTTGAGTGAAAAAATTAATGCCTAACTCAGTTGTTGAAGAATGAAGGATTTCGTAGATAATGGAAATCTGAAAGTCTGTGAGCCTCAGGAAGTAAAGTACTTTTGTAATGTTCCATGTTTATGGCTCCGTGATTATTTTGATAATACTTAAAATACTGTAAAATGCTGAAACAGAAAATTGTATCAAAAATAGTATACAAGATTGATTTTGGTAGAAGCAACATTTTTTATTAACCTTTTTTTTTCATTTACAAAAAAGATACCAGGTGATCAGCACTCCAACAGACTTTTTCATGGTAATGGAATATGTGTCTGGAGGTGAATTATTTGACTACATTTGTAAGCATGGACGGGTGAGTATATACTATTTTGTACACTAAGCCTCTAAGTGAGAAAAGAGGAAATTACTAGAAAATAGCCAACCATGAAGGTATCTTCAATGCCTAACTAAATGAACAGAAAATTTAACAAATTTTTTTTCAAAAACTACACTTCAAATTACTCATTGTGATAACTATATTCCACTTAATTTCCAGAAGGATTTTTATCTTTTCAAAATCTGTTCTGTAAAATCATGTGAGGCTTCACTTACTTTCTTTTCTTAGCACTTTGATATGTTTGTTTTACTTATGATCCCAAGACATTGTACACATTTAATGATATTAATTAAACATTAAACATTATTTCTTCACAGCAAAGCAAAACCTGTTGAGTGATATGTTGAGCTCTGACAAGTTTTGGGTTGGTTTGTTTTATCTGACTTGCTGAGAATTCTAATTAGCCTATTCTAATTAACCTGCTTACTTATATTTAGACTGGTTATAAAACTAAAATTCTCGCTAAGTAACTGTCCCAGACATTCCTAATGCAGTTTATTTTATACGTGATAGGTTGAAGAGATGGAAGCCAGGCGGCTTTTCCAGCAAATTCTGTCTGCAGTGGACTATTGTCACAGGCACATGGTTGTTCACCGAGACCTAAAACCAGAGAACGTGTTGTTGGATGCACATATGAATGCCAAGATTGCTGATTTTGGTAGGTAACTCTAGGCTTGGCCAGAGTTAGTGTCAGTAACAACTCTTACAGAACCAAGAACTTTCAGTGTCCACCTTGTAAATCCTGTACCAGGAAAAGGGATTAGTTGCATTCTCTACACTAGCTTGATTTGTTCAACTTAAAAGTGAAGATACATCTAGAAACCACATAGAGGACTGTGTCGTGATAAATCCGGTTACTCTGCATTCCCTCTAAGGAAGTGATACTGGACTTTTCTGGTGGGGAGGTAGAAAGACAGGAGTCCCATATTCCTGTGAAAATCTGATAAAATGCACATAAACAATGCATGAAAAATTGCATGCAGCTTTGACAAAAGCTTTGTAGTCCTTCTGAATTGATCCATGGACAGTCCACATGTCTTAGAGCAGTGTCTGATAACTTAATGAGAGAATGGGAGTTTTGTCAGGGGTAAGAAAACAAGAGAAAATGAAACTTTTATGCTCCAGACACTTCCTGGGATAAACATAGGGAAAGGATGCCAGAGTGGGATGGTTGTGAAGAGATTAGCACATGAGATCCTAGGAAAGTGAGATGGGAAGATGTCAAGGTTCAGCCTTCTTATTTAAATTTTTTCTATCCCTTGTCATTAATTTAAATGAAACAAGGAGACTAGTTTCACTCTTTCTCTTTCTTCTGTAAATCATGAAACTCTTTGGGTATGACAGTCCAACTAAATTTTTGGTTCTGTAGATTATTTTTACTATGTTGAATTAAAGCTTTTCAAATTAAAAACATCCTCAGGAGGCTGAGAGGGGAGGATCACTTGAGTACATGAGTTTAAGACCAACCTGGATAGCATAGTGAAACTCTGTTTCCAAAAAAGCAAAAGACTTTAGGAAAATAATCTGGTTATGAATGGGAACCTGTCTGGTTTTTAATTACATATATTTAAAGACAGCTTGTGAACACATAGTTTAAAAAAGTAGTAGCCTCGATGTTATCGTTTCAGCTGTAGAGTAGATAATATTTTGATGCTTCTGTTTTTTGAAACAATATAATTTAGATTAAGCTGATTTATGAAGTGAGTCAACATTTTTATTCAGAAAGGGACTTTAACTCTACCCATGTATGTGATACTTTAAGCTCTCTGCAGTGATCTCTTTCCAACCTAACAAAAGCTTCCATTGCTTTTGTAATATTTAAACTGTGATCGATGGCGCATTAGACACTAAAGTTTTCATCATGTTCTTATCTACATCTAAAAGGTCCAGCAGCATGTAAATCAAGCTTTTGTTTTCAGGACTCTCCAACATGATGTCAGACGGTGAATTCCTCCGGACCAGTTGTGGATCGCCCAATTACGCTGCACCTGAAGTCATCTCAGGCAGGTAAGATGCTTTCTGGCATCTTGTGTTCATTCTGGGAACCTTTACTTATACTCTCTTTGGAGTTAAATATTTTTAACATAATACAAAGAATCATTCATTTATTTTTTGATTGTAGAGGGAATAATTGTGCTCATTTTTTCAAGTTTCCTGAAGATGTTGGTATAGATATATTATGAAGTTTCTTCCATTATAAAATGACTGGAGTAGATCTTGATGTAACACCTGTCTTTTGTTTTAGAGATGGGTAGGTAGAAGAGTAAGCTTGTGATAAATTGAACCTAATGTCATTATTTATCAGACATGATCTTTTAATATTTTACACGGTATGAAGTATGGAGTATTATTTTATATTTTACCTTTCGAAGAATGAAATTTGAGAAGATAATGTTGTTGTTTCATGAAATTAAAGTAGGACTAGGGACATGGTTTAGTGGTAGAGTGTTTGTCTAGCATGCACGAGGCCCGGGGTTTAATTCCTAACACACACACAAAACCAAAACAAACAGAAATCTACAGTGCCCGAGTGGAGTCTGTTCCTCATGTAGTCTGTTCACTGGTGCAGTACAAAAAGCTTGTGCACGTCACAGGTGAAGTCATGTCTTTCTCCCTTCGCCAGTGTCTGATTGAAAAGTTAACAGAATGCTCTGAGAGAATAGTGAGAGGTACTAGGGGTAGTAGATTGGAAGTGTCCTAGTCCATCTGGGCTGCTTAACAGAGTGCTGGCGTACACAGAGTGGCTCAGAAACTCAGAAACATACTCCATGCAGTTCTAAACTGGAAGTCCAAGATCAAGACACTGGAAGATTTTGTTCCTCATAGTCTACTGACTTCTCAATGAAGCTCACACATTGGAAGGAAAAAGGGATCTCTGTGGGTTGGGGGTTAGCATTTCAAGATATGCATTTTTGGAGGACATAAACATTTAGTCTATTGCCAGGAGTTTGAGGGAACATAGCAGATGATGTAAATGAAGGACAGCATTTTTTTTTTTGGTGTACTGAATGTGAACTCAGGGTGTCACACTTGCCAGGTGGGCACTCTATCACCTCAGCTGTGCCCCCTGCCTTTATTTGCTTTAGTTATTTGTCAGGTAGAGTCTTATGCTTTTTCTTTGAACCAGCCTGGACTGTGATCTTCCTGCCTGTGCCTCCCACATAGCTGGTACTGTACGCGTACACCACCACATCCAGCTTGTTTGTTGAGTCTTGCTAATTTTTTGCCCAGACTGGCCTTGAACTGTGATCCTCCTTATCACCACCACCTGATTAGCTGGGATTATGGGTGTGATCCACCATGCCTGGCCAGGGGTACCAATTTTTATAGAGACAGGTTATATTCTTTTCATTGGAATTTTAGAAATTTAATTTGTCACCTCAGAACCGGGTTTACATCTGGTAATATGCTATTAGGGGAATTCTAAATGTTGTAGAAAAGTGAGAGAAAATATAAGATGAGAAAGAGTCTACTGCAGACATAGGTTATCAGGAGCAAAGCTAATCTTAGCCTGTGAGCTAGTAAGTGGTTAGAATGAGGGTAGCTGGTAGTCCAGATATTGCAGTACAGGGTAAATACTGTCTGCATAGCTGCTGTTAGGTACTTTAATGTCTCATTGTTTCAAACAAGTGTGTACGGGTAAAGATAATGTTATGCACACATTTTCTTTCTGGTAACAGTTCTGCAGGAAGATGAGCAGCTTATACACTGTACTATTGTTGTTTTCAAATTTGTGGTTATCTTTTTTGATGTTTCCTTCAAAAATCAACCACAGAAAGTCATATAATTTCTACTTGGCAGCTTACAATGAAGTGAGCTTGAGACAAACACAAATACCACATTCTCCTGGCAGAACTCTATACTAATTGGTTAGATTAATTATTCTATATCAAGAATAACCAGTGAGTGTTGCGAGAAGTCAGTTACTTTATTTAAAGGCCTTGAAAATCATCTTACACTGAGTCTGTCCTACATATATAGAAAAGCAGGGTATGTAAAAATGAGAAAGAGTGATACTTGCATTTCAGTTTGTGTCATCTCTTTTAGATTGTACGCAGGCCCCGAAGTAGATATCTGGAGCTGTGGGGTTATCCTGTACGCTCTTCTTTGTGGCACCCTCCCGTTTGACGATGAGCACGTACCTACACTGTTTAAGAAGATCCGAGGGGGCGTGTTTTATATCCCAGAATACCTCAATCGTTCTGTTGCCACTCTTCTGATGCATATGCTGCAGGTTGACCCCCTGAAGCGAGCAACTATCAAAGACATAAGGTGATCATTCTTTTTACTCCTGTTATACACATTTTCTTGTAGTGATAATAGTGATGCCACTTGAACACTTGCTGTATGCTAGACTTTGTAACACTGTACAAGTCTTTTAAGGTTGGGAATGGTGGCTCACGCCTTGTAATCCCGGCACTTGGGAGGCTGAGACAGGAAGATTATGAGTTTGAATTCAGCCTGTATTATATCGCAAGACCCTGTCTGAAAAGGAAAAAAAATGTGCTACATACCCATAATCCCAGCTACTCAGGAGGTGGAGGCAGGAAGATTGAGTTCCAAGCCAACCCAGGCAAAAGTAGCAAGACCCTGTCTTAAAAACAAAAGGGGCTGTGGGCATAGCTCAAGTGGTAGAATGCTTGCCTAGCATGTGCAAGGTCCTCGACTGAGTCCTCAGTAGTGAAAAAACGTTTTTACTGGCCCAATTATGCAAACCTAATCGTGTCACTTATCTTTTAAATGCTATGTTGTCTTCCGAGTGTAAGTAGCAAAACATATGAGCCTTCCTAAGGCTCGACTTCTCCTGAAGTCTCATTTTCTGCCTTCCCCACCCTGGCCCTTGTATGTACAACACTGCTTCAGTCACAGTGAACTTGTCCTTGATCCTCGAACAGCATAGCCAGCATAGATTTTACGCCTTTGTGTCCTCCTGTATGCTAGTCGTCATGCTTTGCTGCCTTTTCTGACCTGATAGCCCTGGATTTAGGCTTTTTTTGTTGTGTCCACATGTTGCCTGCTTGTGAAATCACCTCTACTCCCCACGTGGTGTGGGAGACTCTGTTCCGTGATGTCGGCATCTACTTGTACCTATAGTTTCATTCTTGTGCTGTCCCTGGTTGTTTTTCAGTGTGTCTTTCTCCTCTCTCAAATTATGATACGTCAGGGTAGCGTGTGTCTCACTTCCCTTTCTATATGCAGTGTTACAAGTTCTGGCACTACAGTGTATGCTTGGAAAGTATCTGAGGAAAACTGAAATGCAAAACAGGGAGAGTTTGGTGTTTTACAGACAGTTGATAAAATGAAGCATAAAAAAAGTTTTGCTAAGGGTTGAAGGTGTGGCTCACGTGCTGGTCTGGCAATCATGAGTCCCTGAGTTCAAACCCCAGTACCACTTAAAAAAAAAAAAAGTTTTGCTAAGTTGTGAATCCAGTAGCTGCCAGTGACTTTACTGTGAAAGCTCTCTTACTCTGTGAGAGACTCTGGGCAGTGTGGATTCTAGTGCCAGTGTGAGGTGACCTTGACAGAGCATGCACTGCAGGATGATATAATAACTTCCCCTTACTTAAATCATGTCTGTAAGAGAATTTTTTGTCCTTACCTCAGATTTCATGCATGTTTGTTTTCAGGCACATTTTTTTAATTTGGTCTGTTTTCTTGCAGTGCTGGGGATCAAACCCAGGGCCTTGTGTATGCTAGGCAAGCACTCAATCACCCAAGCCCTAAGCCCATTCTTTTGATCTTTTTCCAGAATGCTTCCTCTTTTCTTCCTAAGCCAGGAAGACTATTTTGAGACCCATGATCCTGGAACATTAGAGGGTAACTGAGGCGGTAGGTTGTGTGATTGCTGCAGAGTTCTTTTGCAAGCAAGGGCTGGCAATTCCTTTTGCACTTACATATTATTTTCTTTCCCCTGCCTTTCTTCACTGTTCCAGGCCCCATGCATAAAAATGTAAAAGTGTAAAACAGCCACCAGATTTAGTTATGGAAATGAACTTAGCAGGAAAAAAATCCTTTGTGTTCATGGTTAAGAATAAATAGTTCTCTTAATTGGGTTTCCTCAGAAAGAAAATTAGACATGCTGATATACTTGCACTTGCTTGCATAACATATAAATTTAGAATAGCAAAAGCACTTATTCTGTTATTTTAAAGCAGTTGTTTGTATATTTACAGGCTTCAGCATAAGTCTACTAACTTGAGTTAATTTACCCATAAGTAGGTGGTGTACAATAGTGTCATTCATCTTTATACTTACTATAATATCTTGAATTTATAGTTTTCACCACTTTTAATTTATCTATGTTCAACTTTTCAATGTTGGAGAATTCCTGATTTGATAAAATGTGGTTCGGCAGGCAAAAAAGTTACAGATTACTGGACAGTTCTTTTTGCTACTACTTTATTACCTTGATTTTTTAATAAGCAGCTATTATTATTCTCATTTTCAAACCTTGAAACTAAAACCTAGGTTATATCATGATTTGTTTATGTGTTTGTCCCTATTAAATTATAAGTTCTTTAAATTAAGGAACAAGTATTAATTCCTATAAAAATACACAATGTCTGGCATCTTAATGTTGAGTGCACTTGTGTTTGTTAAAAATTACAGTTACCAAAAGGAAAAATTGGGGCTCAATTCAGAACTTGCCTGAATTAAACACCTATGTCATTTCAACTATTCCAAGTTTCATGACATCAGTCTGTCACAATACTTCATATAGCTCTTATGCCATGACAATACTTTCTTAGTACTTTTGTATAAGTTGGGTATTCTTTATCTAAAATGCCTAGAACCAGCAGTGTTTCAGAATTCAGAATCTTTCAGATTTTGGAGTATATGCATAGATTTTACCAATTAAGCATTCCTAACCCAAAAATCTGAAATCCGAAATGCTCCAAAATCCAAAAGTTATAGAGCGTGATGCTCAAAAAATCTTCAGAGTTAGGGGGAGGATACTCCCCCTAATGTGCAGTTGCTATTTATGTAGGTTGAAAAACAATTGAACATCATAAATTTCAAATATTCAATGTAATAGAAGCTCAGCTGGGCATGGTGGCATATATCTATAATCCTAGAACTCGGGAGGAGGATTGTGAGTTTGAGGCTAGCCTGAACTACATAGTGGGTCTCAGGCCAGTCTGGGCATTCCTGGTGATTCCTGTCTCAAAATATGTGTACACCTGTGTGTGTATATATGCTGCCAGTGATGAGAGATTATGGCCTTCTCAGGTCTTCCTTGGGCATGCCCACAGCCCAGCATGTATGTTCCTGGACTTTGTTGAGGCCCACAAATACATGAAAGCTTTTCAAAGGACCCTTTGGAACTCTTCTTTCCTAACTTTTTCTTTAAGTTTTTACACCAGCCTCTCGGTTATCCAGGAAGAAGCTGCTTCAGTCAGCTGGGATGCTGGAGAGTTGCAATGGATTTTTTTTGTTGTTCTTGTTGTTTTGTTTTTGACAAAACAGCATTTTGAGAATGCTGTTTGCAGTGAGTTGAATTCTGTCATGTCAAAGACAAGGTCAGTGAGTGGAGGTTTCCAGGGAGCTGCCAGGTGTGCTGGATAGCGACAGTTCTCTTGGAATGAGACTTTGGGGAACTCCAAACCTGTTCTTTTCTCAGTTGTCCTCACCCTAGTGATTTTCTCAGCTATGTGATTGTGAGAATGTTGGTTTTTAAGGCTACTGAGGAGCTGAAGCATGGAAGCTAAGTGTAGGAAAACTTAAAAAGCCATATCTCTCTTTTCTCATTGAGATTCAGCTATTTTTCTTGAACAAAGACCCCTCGATTAATTTCCAGAGTTATGCAGAAGTTGGTTTTGACATTTTTTGATACACCTCTTGAAATATCTGATTGATTTTACCACTGCATTCATCACTCATTATGCTTTCATGATATTGGGCTTGTTCAGTCCCTAGAACATGGCAAAACTTTCACATCTCAAGAAACACCTGTCCCCTAACTCTTTGCTTATCTGACTTCTAATCATTCTTATGTTTGCATAAATGCTAGTCAGAAGGGAGCAGGGGTGGGGTATGGGAGAGGGTGGGGGGAAGGGAGGAGAAATGACCCAAACATTGAATGCACATATGAATAAAATAAAAATTAAAAAAAATCTGAAAAAAATTAATAAATAAATGCTAGTCAGAGTGGCTTCCTGAGTCATCTGCCTCCCATTCTGAATCATATGCCTTCATTTTACTCCATGCTCACATTTATCACAGGATTTGCCTAATTGTGTATTTGCTACACTTTATTCTTAATAAATATTTGTTTAATCCTTATACTATTTCCCATCAGTTGAAGGTGCATGAAGAAAATCTGACTGCATATAAGTGTTTGGACAAGGAGTTTTCTAATAACCTTTCAGTTAATGGTTATATCATTCTTTGATATTAAAGCAACATTTAAAATACTAGGTTGAAGTATCAAATGAGAAAACATACCAATGAACTTTTGAACTTTACTAAATTATACTCAACTAGCGTCTTGCATTTTGAGTGGATATCTTATGCATGTATGATTCTGTCACAGCATACATTGGTCATTAGAAAATCTTGCATTATTGATCTATGTGGATTTTCCAAGTGGTAACATGTTTCATTATACACTATCAAAAATCATTGACATTATTGTCAATGCTGACCTCATCAGAAGGGTCTATAGGTATTGAGAAACCATCAAACTCCTGTCATCAGGTACAAATTACCATACCATGTTCCATTTTTTTTTTTGCTCGAAAACTTGAATTTTGTGATTGGCAACAACTATCACTCATTGTTTTCCTTGAAATGGTGCTCACTTTTATTATTTTCAAGGAAACATCAGCCTACCCAAGTCTGAAAACTGGGTATTTACAGAGAGGGATTAATTGACTCAACCAGGGTCAAATAGCTAGTAGGTGGCAGAGCTGGGACTGGAGACCAGGTCTTTTGGAGTTTATTATATTATAGTGCTCCTTGTCTAAATTATTTAGGACTTGCCAAAGCGTGTTCTCACGATATATATTGTGGTGTTTTTTCCTAGAGAGCATGAATGGTTTAAGCAAGATTTGCCCACTTACCTATTTCCAGAAGACCCGTCTTATGATGCTAATGTCATTGATGATGAAGCTGTGAAAGAAGTGTGTGAAAAATTCGAGTGTACAGAATCAGAAGTAATGAACAGTTTGTACAGTGGTGACCCTCAAGACCAGCTTGCTGTGGCTTACCATCTCATCATTGACAATCGGAGAATAATGAACCAAGCCAGTGAGTTCTACCTCGCGTCTAGTCCTCCAACTGGTTCTTTTATGGATGATAGTACCATGCATATTCCCCCAGGCCTGAAACCTCATCCAGAAAGGATGCCACCTCTTATAGCAGACAGCCCCAAAGCACGATGCCCATTGGATGCACTGAATACTACTAAGCCTAAGCCTTTAGCTGTGAAGAAAGCCAAGTGGCACCTCGGAATCCGCAGCCAGAGCAAACCATATGACATTATGGCTGAAGTTTACCGAGCCATGAGGCAACTGGATTTTGAATGGAAGGTAGGAGATTGTAGTGTATTAAGGTCATTGGTAGAAGACATTTTCCTGTAATCGGTGGGAACAACTGAGTTTTGAGGTCAATAAAAACTTTTGGTTAAGATAGTAATTTAGCAGATTCTTTTGGCTGACAAACTCCACTCTTTCCAATAACATATGCATTAAAAAACAAGCTTCTGCAGTGATAAAAAGCTGTTAATGTTGGAAACTTACATATTCTGAATTATAGAATAGCTTCCTTGGCTAAGAAACAAAAAGCAACAGACTTGAAATTATCTGAGAAAAAGGCCCACCTGCTTCAGCATGCTTCCATAGTCACAAGAAGTTCTGAGCCTTCAGATAGTAATGTTCTTACTTTCATCTCTATTTAGGAACTTTTTTCTTTTCTTGCGTTTTCTGTGGGGGCAGTGAGGGTGGGTATATGGCTGTAACAACTGGTGGTCAGCATAAATTATCAGTGTATATTCATTCAGTCAACAAATGTTCTTCTCCAAATTGAGAATCCTCTAATTGTCTGGTGCTTTTAACTCATAGTTACATTCTCCTTATTATCAGCCCTGCTTTATTTCCTTTTAAAGTTATCCTTCAGTTTCATTTTAATTCTGTTTGAATATTTTGGGGGAAAGCATTGTTTTCATTTCAAATGTCCCTTTCACTCTGTTCCTCTCTTGAGGACTATGAACGTTTTTTTGAAAGGAAGAAGAACATCCAAATTTACCATGTAACTATTTGACATGTTCCAATAAATCAGTCACTCTCATTTCATTATTTGCGCATGAATAAATGAAATAATATTTCCTTAAAGCTAAAAAACAGGCTTCCCTTTTCTGAAGCAGTTTTATTTAGTTAAAAAGGAGATGTTAAGTCTTTAATATTTCTTACTGAAAAAAAAATTGAAACTAATTTGGTAGATGTTTGGAAACCCAGAATCTTCTTTAACTGAGCTGTATTTTTTTAACCTTTAAAAGGCAAACTATGTCTTCCTCACAGAATTATCATGATACCTGAATTTTGTGACCTCTATCTCATTAATCTGTTAGTCACTGTTCATTTCTTTCACTTTCTACTAATCAATAAAAATATTCGGGCACAGGCTGCTTGACAAACAAGATTATTGCTCATACTGTAGATGGATGCATATCTAAAGGCTAGACTCTAATTTCTGAGCTTTCTTTATACATACTGTACTGTTAGTGAGATTAAATAAATGATAAAATAAACTACCTGCACTATGTAAAAAAAGTCATTCTAAAATTGCTTCTGTACTCTACTCCTGTCAATTATTTGTTTTTGCAATAAAAAGGGAGACATTGTGTACTATTACTGTTTTACTGATTTCCTGCTGTAGGTAGTGAATGCATACCATCTTCGAGTAAGAAGAAAAAATCCAGTGACTGGCAATTATGTGAAAATGAGCTTACAGCTTTACCTGGTTGACAACAGAAGTTATCTTTTGGACTTTAAAAGCATTGATGGTAAGGAAGCTAGCTATGCAGGCATGAGCTCTGAGAAGATAAAACTTGGTACTAGTTGACCAGGTGTTAAAATCATCTCAAAGACATGGTGGGTAGGTCTTCTACTTTTTAAGTAATCTAGCCTTAACCAAAATGTAAGTGAAATGATACATATCCATCCATCCATCCATCCATCCATCTATCTATCCATCCACACATACAGGTTGATATACGAGAAGACAGTAAGTTCCAAGTATGTACTTCTTCAAATGCAGGGGGTTGAGTGACTAATAATGCTTGTTATGATTGTGAGTGGGACAAGGTATTGCCTGCTCTTTTCCTAAAATACTGAAATATGACACTCCATACTAAGTTGTCCTTGCTTCCACACCTTTACTTAAATTCTGAATGTAACAACTTCATAGGGATGACTTGAACAAATGCACTTTTTCATGTAAATTGTTCTTCTTTGATTCATTTCAGATGAGGTGGTGGAACAGAGGTCTGGTTCCTCAACGCCTCAGCGTTCTTGTTCTGCTGCTGGCTTACACAGACCAAGATCAAGTGTGGATTCCATAACTGGGGAGAGCCATTCGCTGTCTGGCTCTCTCCCTGGCTCTTTGACCGGAAGCACATGGTCTTCACTTTCCCCTCGCCTGGGCAGTCACACTATGGATTTTTTTGAAATGTGCGCCAGTCTGATTGCTACTCTAGCTCGTTGATATCTGCCACTAGTTTCTATCTTTCTGTTATTGCACTGTGAAAATTAGATATTTCTTTAGATTATTATCGCACTTCTGGATATTATGTACTCTGCAATAGTGACAAACACGAAATTTCCAGGGGATGTGCATTATCATTGAAATTACTGAAAACAAAAAACTCTGATATTTAATTTACTTCTTAGAACTCTGGAATTCTACTGTGTCTATGATAAATCCCCATAGGCAGTATCTTTAATGGGTGAATGTTGACAAAGCTTGTTAGTTTATAGTTGTGAGTCCACCATACCTGATCAGCACACTTCACTGAGGGTGATTTGGCAACACCTCCTTGCTTTACTTTTTAGCGTACGTAAGTCCAATTTACTTGCTAAATTTCAGCAGACTTTCAGCTGTGTTTATGCTCCCAGTTGTCTTACAGAAAAATATTTTAAAAATTAAATAACCAGTAGTAAAATATTATTGAAAGGTTGAACTCTTAAAAGCCTCCTCTCCAAATCTCAGAAACCAAATTCTTCTGACAGTTTTTACAAATATTGCCTACTGTTCACAGATGGGCTGTGGTCCTGTAGGTACCCATGATCACCAGGTTCCTTGAAAACAGCTCTAACCATCTCAGGGTTGTGTCTTGAGATTTCCCTGAATATATATTCAGTATACTGAATGTATACTCTTCAGTATTGGAACACATGGAATGGCAACAATTTCTATCTTTCCCATAAACTTAAAAGTTTTAAAATATATCTTTAAAACTACCTTTCTTATATTTTTTGGCCTGTTTATTTTTGCATTTCTACTGAAGATGATAAAATAGTATACAGGGCACGTGGCTCAGTGGTAGGGTTCTAACTCTTCATTGGCAGTTTAAGTTAGTTTATTGATGCCACCTCTTTCCCTCACCTTCCTCAGTAATCATTGTCATTCTTTGTTCATTGTTTTATCTTCAGTAGCTGATTGATTTAGTTTTTCAATCTGTAGTTAGAAAACTCTATTCTGGCCCCAGGGGCTTTTGTGTACTTCCAAAGTTTAAGAGGCTATGCCCATCACTGTTAAACCTGATAGGTCAGGGAAGCCTTAAATGTTAAAAAAAAAAAATCTCCTGGAATAAATATATGTGTTGTTTACATATATGCATATATGTATTCACAAACCAGTGCTTTTAATTGAAAACCAAACAGGTTTTCTTGTGTAAGTTTTTTTAAGATGAAAAAATATATATAGCAGGGTGAATAATAGCTCATGATTATATTTTATTTTAGTAGAAGTATTTAATTTTAAAATTATGTGTTCTTTGTCTAATTATATTTATTCATTTGTTATATTTATGTTGTAGTTAACAAAATTATTGACCTGACTTACCCTAGAAAATATCAAGCTCTTGAAAACCAAAAAAAAAAAAAAAAAGACATTGCCTTGACGGGTTTCTCTTTGCCAAAAATAACATTTTCTACCAAGAAGCAAATGAGAATGTTAGATCAAGTTTCTCTTGTGTTTATGGAAGTCAAGTTTATCTGTATTTAAATATTTTTGAGTCAGGAGTTGCATAGTGTCACATCAAATTGCTTTGTAGATCTTTTTTAAAAAATAGTGTTTGATATTTTTAAGTCCAACTTGTTTATATAAAATAAAGGAATCCTTGTTCACCCTTTGGGAAAGAGAGTAGGGTTGCATTTGAGATAAAGTTTAACCTTTGAAAGGCTGCCATCTTGTGGCACAAAAGGGTAATTTTAGTAGTTATTTTAATGGGGATAAGTGGTCTTGCCATTTTGAAGTCCCATGTGTATTATCAACATGGTGTAATTTTGACTACTTCAAATGTGTACATACCTCTTGGGCAAGGAAGGCCACCTTATAATGCTTGTCTAATTATGAGTGTGACAGATTTAGAAATAGGAACTAATTGGATTATCCCCAGTGACAAAATCCCCAACAATTCTGAAGGCAGAAAGACAGTGATAAATCAGATATTAGAAACTTACCCATATCAAACCTACTTTATATGAATGGTTATGTTATTTGAGAGTTAACAAAACTTATTTACTATTTCCTGATTCTTGTCAGTATTAATGAATATCCAGTTTGAATTTTAGGAGAAGCAAATGTCATGACTTTTCTGCGTAAATTTTAAAAACATAACTATTCTGCGAACCTAGGTAATACAGTAAATTGGTTTTCAGAGAGGCTTCAGGAGAGTCAGTCTAGCACAACAGGACTAGAACTTTTTGTTGCTCATGGTCACAGAGAAGGAAAGAATCCATTGCTAATCCAGAATCCCCAAAATTTAGTCTTGTGCATATTAGCTGTGGATGTGGTAGGTAGACCTGTGCTAAGAGCAGTTCCCGCCATTAAGATCCTGGTGAGTGCCTTTATTGTAGGTTGTAGATAGACCTTAGCTATGTCATGGAAATGGATTTCATATGGTTCTAGAATAGCATTTTCCAAAGAAAAAGAGATCCTATGGAATGAGTTTGGAAAATACTGTTTGCTACTCTTCCCCCTGGAGGAGGAAAATGCATTTGAGCATTAAAGACTTTGACAAGTCCTTCTGTGGAAAAAGAAAACCATGTAACTTTGTTTAACCCTCCTTTACCTAAGTTGGTTTTCTGTTTTAAAAAAAACGGGCAAGTGGGTGGTGCACACCTGTAGTCCCAGCACTTGGGAGGCTGAGGCCCTTTCTCAAAAACAGCAACAATTAAAAAACATTAACATCCCATGAGAAAAAGAAAATTTGGAGGATTTTCTTTGTTAGGAAAATTATTATCCCTGGTTGTCATAATTAGAGTGGCTAAGAATGAAATTAAAGACAGCATTTCTTTTCCCTTATCAGTTGTTGGGTAGAATAGTTTAATTCAGAATCCTTTCAGTTTACATGTTCATCTTGGACTAAGTAGAATTTTTGTGACTAACTTGTTTCATAGAATGTTGGTTTTCTTCATCAGGAGGTGGTATTGTTTGGGGACAGCATTTATTTTTTATGTTAATGGATGACTGGAAATATTAAATAAAATAACTTGTGAAAAAAAAAAACCAACAACTAAGAAGCTAGTGACTCATGATTATGGCTCCGTGGACAATTGAGTCTGTTTCATTGATTCTTTCAAAATCAATGAAAAATCTTTTTGTTTAGGATACCAGATTTAAAGCTGATTCCTGCTGTGTTTTTGTATAGAAACAGACACTTTCTCAAATTGAGGGCTGGTGGAGTAAGTCAAGTGGTAGAGTACCTGCTTAGTAAACATGAGGCCCTGAGTTCAAGCCCCAGTACCACCAAAAAAAAAAAAAAAAACCCAAAACAGAAACAAAAACCAATGCTATTAAGAATAGACATTTTTGTGAACTGTAGTGCTTGCATTCCTTGATATGTCTATAAAGAGAATCCAGGGAATTATCTATATGCAGCACAGATAATTTTTCACTTTCTGCAAATAGATTTTCAAGGATGCTTACATAATTCTGGGTTATTCCCTGGCCAGTTTATACTAAGGGAATACAAAATGATTTTTTGGATTAAATGGAACATAATTTAGAAAATAAACATGAATAATCATTACATGTTTTTGATGGCTTTGATTTATCTGTAGCATCTAACATGCAGTATACTTAGATGCCTAGCACAGACACTGCATCTCTGTCTACGCACTGGCTGGTTAGTTAAAATCCTGTTAATAGCTGTGACATGTCAGTACGTGAATGCTAGATATGTTCATAGTTTTATCTGTTTTTGTTTGTATGTTTATAAAGTTCCAAAACTTTTCAGTCTGGCATTTCTCTGTCTGGTACATGGTCTTCCTGTCACCCTATGCTTTTAGAATAGGGAATGTGACTTACTTTAATAGTAGTTCTTGGAGACCATGTTAAAAATTCTGGATGAGGGATGTGTGCAATCTGTTAGTAAGGTGCATCCTGCAGGGGCCTCATATTTGAGACCCTAAAATGGGAGGGGTAGAGTAAAAGACCTCTGAGGTAGCTTTGAGCTTTAAAGTTCTGCCTTTACCACCTTTTCATATGGTTTCTTTTTTTTTTTTAATATTTAGGGTTTTATACTAGTTTGAATTCTATTTTGGTTTCGTGAGGCATTTCAAAGGTGTATATTATAGTGATTTTTAGATCTGCCCCTCCATGTAACTTAATATTTACAGTAATCTTGGAGGTAATCAGAAATGATGTGTTTTACCATCTTCCAGATGAGGAAACAGGACCAGAAAGTTCTTCCTAAAGCTTGAGTGCCATACAACTGTTCAGTGATGATCAGTTGTCCTTTAAAGTATATCACCTTTCCTCTGGGGCAGAACAGTAGGAGTTAATGAAACATCTGAGTAGGCAAGTAATATAAGTAATCACAGATGTATTGCTTTCAAGTCTTAGAGTGACATAAATTAGTCTTAACTAAATATTATATGAACCAAATGATTGTACTAACTAGATGTAATTATCTGAAATATTTATGATTAGCATATTGATTTTATAAGTTCTTTTAAGTTATTGAGGGTGCTTAAAAATCCTGAAAAAAACTTTAGGACGTAATTCTTTGTGTAATTTTATTTATGTGATTTGTGTGTGTGTGTGGGTGTTGGGGATTGAACCCAGCACTTTGCACTTGGAAGACGAATGCTCTACCACTAAGCTGTCTGTATCCCCAGTTCCTGTATATGTGATTCTTAGAGCACAATCTCTTTTTAAAAAGGAAAACTAGTCCCAGTCTCTAAAATTATCAGACTCTCTCTAAATAGGTGTATCTAAGTTCCATATACAGATAATGTGTAAATATTCACAGATGATAAAACATTGTTTTCAGAGTGTATCTCGCTTTATGAGCTGTCTAGTCGTTACTGACTTGGTAGAAATTCAGAGCGTTTGAGATGAGCTTTACTTAGTAGGTCCACGTTAAATGAGTTGCTGGCATCCTGACCAGTCTTTCCCCACGTATATTTATGATTAATCTGATACCAGTGAACAGTATCTCATGAAGAACAGGACTCAAGGTCTAGACTGGATTAACTTTTAATTAAATTTCTGCAGCCATAACCTGGTAAGAATCAGGTCTGTCTAGAAGTTATCAGACTGCAGGCCTGTGTTAACTCTGTCAGCCAGTGTTAATGCCAGGCTTGCATAGCAGTGCAGGTTTGCAGCCTTTGACTGGATGTGACTTTTGAGTATGGTTTATATCTAAAAGCAGTTTGGATTTTATGTAACTAGTTCATGATTATTTGGACAAGCAGGGTAGGTAAATTTCAATCATGTTTAAAGTGCAATTAAGGAAATCCTAGAGTACATCACTCTTTTCAGGAAAAAGAGTTAAGTATTTGTAGAATATCCTAGCATGAACAAATTTGAATATACATAGTTTTGACAAGGTTTATATAGCTTTTTTTTTAATTCAAGGTTTGCTACTTTGTGTTAATTTAAAATTTCAAGGAGGAACAGAACTATTCTAGGTTAGGAGAACTGCATTATTTTTTCTCTGCTGATCTAAACACGTGTTTTCACAGTTAAAAGTCCCTTTTAAGATTTGTTACCAGAAAAGTCCATTTTTCTAGATAAAATTTTTATAGAATGAAAAAAAGTAGACCCACTGTTCTAACAAAAGAAAAAAACCCACTAAACTGTGCCTTCTCAGATTGTAGAAAACTGTTCAAATTGTATTTTCTTTTTCTAGTCCCTCTTTCTTCTCCTGAGATCTGCCCTCCACAAATAATCCCATTGCTGGCATCTACCTGTTTGCTTCCAAGTTCATTTGGCCAAACCTCACACTTTAGCCATCAAAAGTTCACTAAACATATTTTCTATTCATTTTATGCCAATTCACTTTTTAAAGTCACCTGGGTCAATATTTGGCTGCCTTCTCATGCTTTTAAAATGAATGCAGTGAGTGGCAATTTTAATATTTTAAAAGTTTATGAAGGAAAGAAATGACACCAACTAAGGACAAAATCTAATTGGAATCTGATTCTTTGTTCGGCTGTTATAGCAGCACAAGTCGCATAACCTCATTTAGTTTTCTCTTGTACAAAATGTGGATAATAACCTACCTCACAGATGTGTGTGAGAACTGTTTGATGGCCCTTGTTCAAATGAGGGTTTATATCCCTGTATTTAATGTAAGTCCCTTTTCTATTAGATATCTTTGATACTGATAGGATGCATATCTTGATTTTTCGGTAAGTCTTATGTGGTAAGAACAATGCTAAGAATGTTTGAGACCATAGTTTCACAAATTATAGTGTCCTCATTTTAAGAAACATTTTAGATTTTATGAAAATATCAACTACTCAAATATCAAACTTGTCTTTTATTTTAACAAGTATTGTCATTCAGAACTTGTTAAAATGTTGGCTGAAGCTGCCTTAATGTCCCAAAGTACAGCTTTCTGTCAAGACTGTTGACAAACATCTCTGGCTGTACACTGTTTTGAGTTTTTAATGTAAATTTGTTAATAGAACTTGAAGTATCTTGATACTGTTTTAGGAGGAGTGGTTGTGTTCTTTATCATATATGCTTATGTATTATACAGTGACTTTTGTGTGCAAACCAAGCTGAAATTTGACAGTCATAACGAATGATGAGAGATAATCAAATTTTTTTCAAAAATATCATGCATTTTCATTCTTAGCCTGTCTTTAAAAAAAAAAAAGTGAACACCATAGGCTGCTAACGTTAACCCTCTGGCACTCTTGGCCACATCTCTATTTAAAATTATTTTTGAATTTTTGAAATTGGGACTTTTTATAATTAGATTCAAGGGAAAAAAATTCAACAGACTTCCAGTTCTTTTGTGATTTAATATCCATAGGTTCAAATTTCAGTTTTGTATGCTCTGTATTTTTTGTGACTATTAAATGGTGGAAAGGATTTGTCTTCCAGTGGTCATGTGGAAAAGATGTCTTCTTTAATTACACAGCATTTCACAGTCACAGGTTTTCTCTGATGTTTGCACTGTGTGGAACTCCTCAGCAACAAACACAAGACAAAAGCAGCCTGATTGCTCATATGCATTTTTCACAAAATCAAATTAAAGTCTCTGGTTAATTTGAAAGGTGTTTTTGTTTCTGTTCAGTCATGAAACCAATATTCTGTATGTCAACTGATGGTTCCTGAGAAAATGTTCACAAAGAGATTGTTTATGACTCATTGGAGATTTTACTCCATCTTTGTTAATTTTTGTCCTTGTTTTTACATACCATAGTTTTTAACTTTAGCAATTGTATAACTATTCTATTGTTGCCATAACTACAAATTTATTATCTTACTGTTCAGAAGATTGGTGGGCTTAACTGGTTTTTCTCAAATGACTTGACAGAAATTTCTTAACCACATAATCACCACAAATTTATTATCTTACAGTCAAAAGTGTGGTGGGTTTGACTACTTTTTCTGCTTCAAGTCACAGGCTGGAAGCCAAATTGTTCATAGGGCTGGACTCTGGGGGAGAATCTTCCCCCAGGCTCTTTCAGCTTGTTGGCAGTTCCACGGTGCTGGAGGACGAGGTCTCTCTTTCCTTTCTGGCTGTTGACTTAGGGGTAAAACTTCTATAAGCCTCTGGCATTCCCTGGCCTATTGCTCCTTCCCAAAGTCAGAACAGCAGCTTGTGCTTGGGATCTCTCCTTGATGGCCCACCACATCTCTGACTGGCTGACTCTTCTGTCTTCCCCTTCCCGTTTTAAGGGCCTATGTGATACAGGTGAGCCCACCTGGAGAATGGTGTCTCCCTATTTTAAGGTCAACTTGAATTCTATTATAGAGTCCCTTTTGCAAAGTCAAATCGCATATTCACACACAAAGCATGAGGGGATAAAGGTCACAGAGACCAAAATTCTGCTTAGCATAGCCATCAATTAGGGAAAAAAAGACCTAGAAAACCTCAGGCTAACAGTTTTCTACCAAAGGCTGCTGAATGGGGAGATGTGTCTAATCTTAGTGAAATAGAATGTAATACATTAAGTATGAATAAAATAGAAGCAATTATTTTTTTCTAAAAACCTAATACCATATGAACAAATAACAATTAGGCAAAAGTTTATGTAGACCAGATGGTTTATACTTTAAAAACATATTTAGAAGATTTTAACGCTGAACATTTTTCTGTGTCTGTGTAAAAAATGATAACATGCCCAGCCATTCTTTGAAGTGTCAGGATTTGAATTTGAAATTGTTTGTTTTTACCATCTTCCAGCCACAGAAAACACCAGGTAGAGCAAAAATACTTATATATTACTGCATATTAAGGATTTCAGAATACTTCTATTATTACATTACAACACGATGACAACTGTGTGAAGTAAATGCGTGTTTCTACCCTATTTTACTAATGAGGAAGTTGAGACCCAAAAGAGTAGTCCTCGAATTAGAACAGAGACCCTGTGGTGAGGCAAAAGTGTATGGGGCAAAGTTATCTCCATTCAGATTTAGGCCCATGAGCAGTCCAAGATTTGAATATTTTATCGTTTACTGATGTGGCAATGGTGGTATATGGCATGTGCTTCTCTTTGGACAGGATTATCGCATGCCAGTTTGCTAAACACAGCCATATATTCCCCCACTCACCTTCTTGCCCACAGGCCATACTACAGTGCCTCCTATAACACGTCCTGACCTAGAGAGGGGGCGGTAAATATAATTCAGGGGTTCCAAGCACAGTTAGGTGTCTAGTCTAAGTAGTAATAAATTCTCAATGTTTAGTACCAGCCTTAATCTCATCTCCTAAAAAGAAGTCTCAGCCATTTCCTAATTTTACTTCTCACTCACCTCTGCATCTAATCAGTCACCAAGACATGATGTTTTCTTTACCTCTATTATGTATCTTTATTATTATTGTACTCAAGGTCTAATGAGACCTTGGTTAGAACATTGCAAAAACCAGTCTCTTCCCTCTATTATCCGTATCGCTGTTATTCCATCCCCTAAACTTTTGTTACTTCCTTTCTTCACCCTTGAGTGGCACCCCACTCTCTAGAGGAAGAAGTCCAGGCACATTCTGTTACATTCCAGCCCTAACTCATACCATTCCAAACAACTTCTATTTCCAACCACACTTACTGCTCTGTTTGCCTTGAATTTCCTCACAGTCACTAGATAGAGCATGGTTTTCCAGCACTGTCAGTTCAAGAGAAAGCGTCAGTGTCTTCTCTAACACCTTTCTTAATCATCTAACCATTCCATTCACAACTTCTTTTTTTAATTGTAATAACCTCACCTATTTTCTTCTATCAACTCTGAGTCTTGGATTCCTGTCTTTTAGGGTAAGCTTGGCCTTGACTGTTAAGTGCTATTTGGAACATGCAACAGAAGATAAAAGAATGTTAGCAGCTTTTAGTATGTCAGTCTCAAAGTATGAAAGGTAAGGCCATCATAGAAATAAATCCCACTGCCTTTGAAGGCCAGAATCACCCTGCTTAAAGTACTGAACAAATTCTCCACTTTCCCAGTGCAGATAAAGCCACTTAAACTTTAAAACTGTCGAATGCATATGTAGAATTTATTTATCATTAACATGCAGTGCACACCATTTAAAAATAGAATGTTACTTACAACTCTGCTTTTTAGCTCCTATTTACTTTCATGTAAATGAAAATACATAAGAATTCTATTTGCATAGGTATTTGGGGCACACACAAGCATACTTCTTATTTTAGGCAACAGGATGTTTTAAGGTGATGCAGCATATCTGTTTTTTAGATTTTGCTAAATATATTTAGATTTTCCTTAATGATGCTGGTTGAACTTAGGAATAAATTTTCAGCAAACTGTTCCCAAAGGAAACCAATGTTGAACAGCATTCATCTGATTATCTTTTTTGCGATAAAGCAAAAGGACACATATTTGATTTAAAAAAAAGTGAGCCACAATTATTTTAAGATTGCACCTTAAGTTTGAATATTTTGAAGAATGTGGTTACATTATTTACTGTTCAGAGTTTATGCCAAATTTAAATGTACAACATCTAGAAATTGCAAACGCTCTGTACTAATGTGAGGAGCAGGCAGCCATCTGCGGAAGTGACTGGGTGCCGTCGGCGTGACTTCTGTGGATGTGGCTCATTAAGCGAGTACTAACACAGACTGTTTCACGTTACCTTCAACCAGCAGAACAGACTTGAAAGATGAACTTGAAGAGTAAAACCAGCATCTACATGAAGTTGTGCTTTTGTTTTTCTCTTTTGAGTCTCAACAAAAGTTTCCAAAGTCCACCTCATTTTGACATGTAAACAAATTGCCTTGAGATAGGCCTAGGATCCTAGGAATCCTTCTGCAGCCCTTTCCATCTGATCTTGACCTTCCTAACGTGACCAACCTTGGTGCCTGGGAAGAAAGAAAAATATACAGACATTTTTAAATAGAGGCTAGTGGAAGAGTGAGGAGGAGATTTCTGGGGAATTCCTTACCTAATTTGGTATTTTGTGTGCCTTTAAAATGCTTACAAATGTGCTTTGTATTCCAATTTGGCATCATACTCAGGGGACACAATACTAGTGTCTTTTCCAACACAATCTTTATAAAACAGAGCACTACAAACCCATTTTTCAAACTTTTTCTGAATTTCAATAAATTCAATTGTCTTCCTTTACAGCTAATGCACACAACACCGTATTAGTACTTAGAACTCATGGGTTGAAGTATAAAATCAAAAAGCTTACTTGAAATGTAGGTGTTCAATGAGTACATATCCATCTATAGAAACAAAAACCAATGTAGTTAAGATACATTGGAAGCACATATGTAAACATCACAATGAAACCCTCTACAAATAATATATGTTGATAAAACACTAATCTCAAGCTTTCATAGAAAATGCTTGAAGATTTTTTAAAAGATAACAATTGAAAATTTACAAGCAATAAACCAATAAACTTACATTTGCCTTTAGAGTTACGACATATGACTAGATTTTGCTCAGTGGTATCAATGACCTCCAGTTCTTCTCCAGGTGTTATTGGCAAGTCAAATATTCCATTTCTTGAGTTGTTGGAACATGCCACTGCTCTGTTGATGATGATAATCTCCTTGTCATACTAAAATGAGAGATTGCTAGTAGACCATCCTTACATAGGTGTTATTATTTATAGCAAAACGAATGGGGGATATGGCATAGTAACCTCAAAATAAGCTCAAAATGCTACATATTGATTAAATAACATGAGGGAGTAGAAAATAATAGGCACATATACAGTGATAGGAAAGTCATCTGGGCTGAAGCCGTGGCTCAAGTAGTAGAGTACCTGCTTCGCAAGTGCAAGGCCCTGATTCAAGTCCCATTAATACACACACACATGAAAAGTCATTTAAGAAAATAGTGAAATGCTGTAATCTTACGTTTGTTTGGCATTATTATATTTGCAAAATGGTTTTACATCCACAGTCTAATTGTAGTAGAGTAAGTCCTGGTGGATGAGAGATTATCAGGAGAATATGACAGTAAGGAGAAGTTAACAGATAAAAACAAATCCTCTTTGCTTGATGCCGTAGAGTTTATAACATTCTTAAATACCTGTCACTTCTAGATGGTAATCTCTCTTTACCTGGCCAGGTAAGCTTAGATGTTACAGAACTATAACATGTATGCTTTACATGTTATAGGTTGGGAATTTGGTGTCTAGGAGTGATTCCCACTTCACATTTGTGGCCTTTGGCCACAAATGAGAAATTTGACTTCTGACCCCCTAAAGGAGCTCTGTTTCCTTGTGATAAAATAGCTGGTCTATGAATCTATAGGCACTTAACCTTCTAGTGTATTGAAATCTGTTGACAAGAAAAAAATTCCAGAATATGTAGCTTAGATTACAGCTGTCTACTGTAATTATGGTTATCGAATCTCTTCCTTTACCCAGGACACTGTTTATAACTAATGTCTGCATTTATAAATTGTTACTAATATGACTAAGAGCGCCTCCTTCTATTCTCAGAAGCATCCTGAATTTGGATGATAAATTATATAATCACTCTATACCAACAAGTACAATGTACAAGATAGATTTTTCTTTTGCCTCCCAAAATAACAGCTTCCTAATAACTGGGCTTCTTACTCTCTTCAGGCTATTATTTACTGTGAGTCCACAGTGATTTCTTAAAATACAAATCTAATTAGGTCACCTTCTAGTTATAATGTACTGAACACTCTCCATTCCTTTTGGGAGAAGATCTTAGCCTGATAGTCAAGGTCTTTTGCATACTGCCATTCTTTGTCCCTCGTCCCTCTCCCCTTTATTGAAGCCTCATGAAGCTATATGATAATCCTTGAACATGGCATGTTATTTTCATCTTTCCGTGCCTTTGCTCCATGCTACTTCTTCTGTTGGAACTGTTTCCACCTCTTGTGCTTTTGTGACTGCCATGTATAATTCACTGTTTTACTGCATTATGTACATACTCCTGTTACAGAATTTAGTAAACACATGACCTTATAAAATGAAAAAAAGAAGACAGTCTTATTTATCTTTATACCCTCAGTGCCTGACACCATGAGGTACCCAATATCTGGTAATTTGATCTGGATAACAATTATTAAAATAACATAGTTTTTCTAATAATGGTAACTGTGGAGACCCATTTCAAGTAATGAAGAATCATATGCATACAGAGGAAATGGAATTTCTATCCCATATGAGATAGTCAAAAATACAGGGTAAAAAAAACACTAGATAGAATGTAGGAATCCTTTCAACAAGCAATTGCTATTTTATTGTTTTTTACCTAATAAAAGAACATTACAGTTTGCAGTAGATAATTTCAGATCATAATTTCTATATATTGGAACCCTAATCAGCTTTGGTACAAGAAATTATCAGTTATTATGAGAGGTTTATTTATATTCTTTTTGGGTCCATTCAAAAATGATTTAGGATGTTTCCAAAGTGTTAGGTAGCGTTACTGTGTCCTGCACATGAGTATGAGGATAGATAATATAGTCCTTGTCCTCTAGAAGCTCATAGTTTCATATGATGAACACATAATTGCAGTAAGCTAGAGGTTACTCAGGTATTTAGATGAATAGAAGAGTACTTTCTTTAGTCAGGAGGTTTGGACAAATCTTACCAGAAGAGAAGATGCCACAAGAGGGTCCTGATAAAGGAACAAATCAGATGCAGAAAGTAGCAAGGGGAACTGGAGTGTCAGAGCAGATCAGCAAATGCCTGGAGGAAGGGGACAGCACAAGGTAGAAGTGTGAGTTTACTCTAGGGACAGAACTCTGATCAGTTTGTTGCCAAAGCAGAAAGTATAAGGACAGAGTGCCAAGAGCTAAAGCCAGAAAGATGACATGAAGAGCTTTACATGCCATGTTAAGAAGCCTAAACTTACCCATTTGGCAATGGGAGACTTTTGAAAGGTTTTAGGTAGAGAATTGACTTAGACAAATTTATGAGTAGGATTCACACTTTGTCTCTTTCCATCCAGAGTCTGGCACATGGATGGTATTAAAAATGTTTCTTAAATTAATAAATGCTCACTTTGACAATATATGGGATTAGCAAAATCATTTGAACTTTAGAACAGTAGGAAAATGCTCCATGGAGTTTTGGCAGTACTGGGATTTGAACTCAGGGCCCTGCTCTTGCTAGATAGGTGCTGTACCACTTAAGCCATACTCACAGCCCTCCATGGGCTCAAAAAGGACAGAATAAGATGTCAAAGACTGTAAGTTGCTATTTCACCCATTCATTCAAATATTGCTCATTTGTTTATTTCATCATTCAATTCACCAAATACTACATGTCCAGTTTTATGTTGGAAACTGGGAACAACTTGAATAAGACAGGATCACCTTCCAAAGGGCCTTGAGAGTTTACTTCAGGACATACCCATATGTGTGTGCAGTATAATAAAATAATTGGTATTGTAAAGATTTGTACATAACAGATGTATAAAATGTGCTGAAGGAATGAAGGCCTGGAGTGGGTAACATCTGAACAAAGTGACAAAGCACAGCTTAGGAGAGTTGCATCAGGAGAAAAATCAAATAAAAATACTAGTTTTTTCTAGTCAAAGATCATGTCTATCTCAGAGACACCGAGGCACAGCAAACTTAAAGTCATTAAAAAATGGAACTGCCTAACTGTTAGTGTTGCTAATTCATACTTTGAGAGGACATCATACCTGGAATCTTTCTCTAAAAAGTTTTTCTTCTTTTTCCACTCTATTCTTTTTTAAGTTTTGCTTCTTGGTTCTGAAGAAATTTCTAGGAGAAAAGCTGGCAAGAAATATGTGGTAGGGTTAAATGTTCTAGAATAAAGTCTAGTTTCCAGTGTGTGTATACTTATACATGTACACGCCTCTACTGGAGCAGATTCTCAGAACAACTTAAAAGGTAATGCCTAGTACTTTTTCCTATCATTCAATGTATGTATTTTTTATGGTGCTGGGGATCAAACTAAGGGCCTCATATATGCTAAGTATACATTCACTGAGCTTTATCTTCAACCTCAAAGAAATATTTTTGATAGTAAGATAACTTCAAATAAAATCAAACTGGTAGAGGATGGTTAATGGGGATAGGACGTGGAGTTGGAAAGGAAGAATGACTTCTAATGTTCTGTAGCACAATAGGGTGACTGTGGGTGACAATTAATTGTATTTCAAAACAGCTGGCAGAGAGGATTTTGAATTCTCCCAACACAAAGAAATGATAAATGCTTGAGGTGATGGATACGCTACTGATCCTCATCTGATAGCTACACATTGTATACATATATTGCAATATAATACTATACCTCATAAATATGTTCAATTACAAATTAAAAATCAGATTGGTTAAACAATTTAAGGTGAACAAGAAGCTTCTCTGCACTGGGTGCAGTGGCTCATGTCTATAATCCCAACTACTTGTTTCAAGACCAGCCCAGGCAACAAGTTAGAGAAACCCAATCTCAAAAACAAACTGGGTATGGTGATGCATGAATTTAATCCCCAGTTAGGCAGGAAGCATAGGTAGGAGGATCACAATCAGAGGCCATGCCTGGGCAGAAGTGTAAGATTCTATCTGAAAAATAACTAAAGCAAAAAGATCTGGGGCCACAGCTCAAGTTGTAGAGCACTTGCCTAGTAAAGGGAAGATAAGTTCAATGCCTTCCAAGCACCATGGGGGGAGGGGGAAAGGAAAAGAAAAAAGAAACTTCTCTGAATCAGACCTAGAATAAAATTTTAAAGAAAAACTGAAGCACACTTATAAATCTGCTCACCTGCAGATTATTTCATGGAAACCAAGAACAATGAGTAAAAAGGCTGCATTTGTTTTCCCAACTTTTCAAACATAAAGGGGAATCGCAAATCTACATGGTTCAAAAGACTGTCCTGTTTACTGAATGATTTGGAGATGGATAGAATTAAGAAAATATACCGAGCAGCCATGAGACATGTGCAAGAATTTTAACACATCAAAGTGGAAAAACTTATACCAGATACTGGTTACAGACACTTCCCTCTCATTCTTCTGCTTTCCACATGTGGATGGGTTCTGCCTCTTAGCAGTACAATATATGGACAGAAGGAAAGAAAAAGTCAACTAAGTCCTGTCAGTTTTACTCAGAAGTGCATCCCACATCTGTTTTTTTCAGACTTCAGTCACTGCCACATTCAGACTATCACCCATTTCTTGCTTGAAATGCCATCTTCTTGCCCCTCCTTTAAAAAATCCATCTGTATACTTACGCCCAGGGTCTTCTTTCTAAATTCAATCAATCATGTCATTCTCTTGCTAAAAACCTCTCAGTGTCTCTCTGCTGTTTTCAGAAAAAGTCCAAACCCATTAGAATGCTACACGGGCATTTTACAATCTGACCCAATTTACTTTTTGGAGCTAGCCAGCTGCTCTTTCCTTATACAGGCACAGTCTACTGTGTCCTCCATGCCTTTACACCCAGACACCCTTCCCAACTTCTTTTAAAACTTTGATTAATCATCTTCGATTAATAAAAGTGTAATTAGAGGATTTAAATCATATAGAAAGCATTTCATATTGATAGAGTTATGGTAGAAACCATTTAAAAAAGATCAAGGAAATTGATTCATCAATCTATAAGGAATAATGATAGCCTCATTATTCACATTTTCCAATTTATTCAGTTGAGAATAAAAAAATACTATTATGTCACTTTGTTTTAAGAAATAAAAAGGCACTAGAAAATTGTTCCTCAAAAGATGTGTTAGTAGTCATCAACATACTTCAAGGCTTTTTTGTTGGGGTAGGAATCAAAGCTTTTTTATTGCTATTTTTCCCCTTCTGTTTTGCTATGCTAAGCAAACGGATGAAAAAGTTTGAAATTAATGTCAAAATCTGCCTTTCCAGTCTGTGATACATCTTTACACTTGGGAAAAATAAATTACATTAAGCCCAAAGAAAACAAACTCACTGAAGGGCCATCCTATGCCTTCCTCTGATTTTAGATTTGCTATAGACTGAGGTCTGGTTACTTTTGGGGTGTCCCCATAAGACTGTCCTGGACAGGCTTCCCAGAGCAGACAGACCACAGCTTATTCACAGCTCCTTGACTATTTGCCAAGGATTTTCACAAGACATTTGTTAAAGAAAGTTCCTCAAATCCTGCCCCATGATTTAGCAACTGAGAAGACTGGCCAGAAGACTCCCATCCCCCACAAGTCCCAGTGGGGATTAAGTCATGTGAATGCAGGTTTGATCTTGAGTTGAAAAAGTAATTTTAAAAATTCAACACTAATTATAGTCATAACTAGAATTCTATGCAATGTATGGAAATCAGTCTTACTGTAGGATATCTAGTTTCTCTTTTCTCAAAAGCTTCATGTAGGTTCTAATTGGTGTTTTATTTAAATTCTATCTTTTGGGGGGGGGCGGAGTTCTCATAGCTTAAAAGGAGACTGGAAGTTTTCCATGGTTTCATAAGAGTGAACTTGAACTCAATCCTCATTCCCCACCCACCAAAAATATGGAGGAGGAGAAATGTGTGTGGAGCTTAACATTTTTGTATCTTTTAATCGTGTCTGCTCTACTGTGAGACAGGCATTATTATTTTCATTTTGTAGATGAGGAACCCGAAAATCAAATAATTACCTGCCTAAGGTTACACAGAGGTAGAAATGACAGCAGAGAAGTTGTACCATAAGTGCACCTGTGTCCCTACCTTGCTGATCCTTCTGTACCTTTTTTCTCTTTTTTTTCCTTTGGTATCAAAAATTTGGGCCTCCAAGTTTTCACTTTATCTTCATCTCTGAGGAGAAAAATATGTTGAGCAAGTCAATTGAACACTTACGAACTTACCATACTTTATAGGTAACTGTTTTACAAAATGTTAAAAATCATCTAGAAATATACTTTTATAATATATGACCAGGCCATGTAGTAAATACTTTAGGCTTTGCAGGCTGTATCCTTTCTATGGCAACTACTCAACTCCACTCTGTGACATTATTTACAGAAACAAGTGGCAGGCCACCCTTGTCCAGTCTCCTGACATTTAAAGATGTGTAGAGATCCAAATTAGAAATCAGAAGAGATCAACCTGCTTGCAATCACATTTTATCTCCTTTCTGAGCCTCAGATTCTTTGCCTATAAAATGTGACTACTACTGCTAAAACACCATGTGACAAGATCAAATGAGCTAGTGTTTAGATCAGTGTGAAAGAGGATGTGGGGACAGAGAGAGTATTATAAAGGAGCTAATATTTTTTGAGGTCATGTCTTCTGGTAAGCATCTTTCATAAGTTAATTCATTTGGTTTTCATAGAAATTACTGTATTAATCCTTTAGAGTAGTCGTAAAGTTTTACAAAGAAAGAAATGGATGGTCACAGAGCTAGGTAACTCATCATGGTCACAGAATAGCCAGTGGCATTAAATGTGGATGTGTCTGACTCCAAAGTCTACAGTCTTTCATCATACTTGCTATCTCAAAACCTTTATTTCCTAAGCAACTATGATATCCACCATGAGCAAAAAAGGTGCAGCCTCTCTTAACCATCCATGTGTGTATGGTGTTGGCATACCTGAACACTTCAGTAACTCAATGGGAAATTTATAAACACAAGGACATTATGTCTGAGGAATTTTCTATTTTTCATAGGCATCTTGTCACTGTTCCCTTCAGATTACGGTCATAAGTATCCAAAAGAATATCAAGGACTCAGCATTTTCCAGAATTGAAGTTTCAGATGAGAGAATGAATGCTTTTAAGAGGCCTTCTAGGACTTGTCTAGGGGTCTCTGACCTGTCTTTTCTCAATTATCAATGGAGTCCATAGGAGGAGCCTGGCAATGACTTCCTTTTTAAATGTTCCACATTAACACATTTCTTCTAAGCTCCAGAAGAAGGGATCCAGACACATGTTCCAATCGTATACACCACAAGCCCAGCACGGTGCTGGGCACTTAGCATGTGTTCAAGATGGACTTGTGATGAAGGTGTTAAGGAGCTACAGCCATGAGAGCAAGGAATAGGTAAGGCAAATGTGTGCTTCCAAGTTTATTTTCTTTATTGATTGTAAAGCATGTTATACCAGGAATACTTAAAAACTGGAAGAAGTAGAAAGGAATAAGAAATAGAAGAGACAAAATATACATCATCTAACCTCTCAGAGACATCCATTTTTTTCTTCTGAACATTCTAAAACACTTGAAAACTGAATTGAGATCATACTACACATAATAATTTTCTACTTTGCTATTTTTAAATTGTCATTGTGGTATGAGTATTTCTCCCTGTCACTGAAAACTGGCCACTATATTTAGCATATTTTTAAATACTCTTTTTAAGCACATATAATATGCTGAGCAAATTACTGTATATTTGAACATTTCGGTTATTCTAAACTTTTTTTAAATAAATAAACCTGTAACAGACATTTTTGTACATGGATCTTTTTCATTAGCACTAATTGCTTGAACTGGAATCACTATATTAAAGGGAAATTTTGACATGTATTACCAAATTACTGTTTCAGAAGTCATACCACTTTATACCCACGTTGGCCATGTAAACCTTATGTTCCACTCTTGCTCTTTGTCAATTTATTTTAGTTTTCTAGGGATCTAGTTAAAGAACTCAACAAATTTGGCAGGATAGGATCATTACTGTCATTTTCCTGGTTAGGAAACTATGTTCAGAGACGATGACTGGCACTGAGCTGTAAAGTAGAAGCTGTTCCAAGGTCCTTTCCAGGATCCCCTTCCTTTTCCTTCCCTTCCTGACTATCTAACAGACAATTTAAGAACAAAAGGAACTGAAAAGCAAAGGCCTGGATTACCTCACAACAACTTAATCCAGAGCTGTTTAGATGCCCCAATCTTACACCCGCTACGACATGCAAACTGTCCAGCTATGGTAATACTGATGCCATCTTTCTTATTCCACCTTCTGTTTCTTTTCATTACTGTTCCATCTGCTACAAGTGCTTTAAAGATTGGTTTTGCTAAAGCCAAATGACAGAAGATTTATTTATTGGTTACATTTTGACAGGCCTTAGTGGTTTGATGAATGCCATTAATTCATCAAGTACTATATATCCTTCACATGTCTTCCATGTCTTAAGCACTATAGTAGTAACTGAATGAGAGAGATGAAGAGGATATGGCTCCATCAAAGGAGCCTACTATTTATAAACCACTATAGTTCTCCTCTGAAATAGCTTCTCTCCTTTCTTTCTTTCCTCAGCCCCAAACATTTTCACTGAAGCAATTGCAGAGATTATTTCTTGGCTTCCTTACAAGGCATTCTGCAGGTTTCTGTCACCCTCCCACAGTGTGGCTTTGGTTACATTGCCCTCTGCTCATAGGTCTTCTGAATTTATCACTTGGCAGTAGGTCAGAGAAGTACTCTAAAAGGGCTCTTCTAACACAAAAAGGCTGAATCTTGGATGAACGTTTTTGTGTTGGGTTGTAACAAATTGCTTTACTTAGATCCAAGTGCCCTACAAAGTATCTTAACAACCCCAACAAACAACTGAGACCAGAATAAGTGAGCAGCACGCATGCACCGAAAGCAAGAGTAGCCTGCAGAAAGTGCTATATCAGCACCCAGTATTCAGAAGCAAAGTAAGAACTAAGACAGATGGGCACACTGGCTTTTTTTTTTTTTTTTGGCAGCACTGGGCTTTGAACTCAGGGGCCTCATGATTTGTTAGGCAGGTGTTCTCCCACTTGAGCCACTCCACCAACTCCACCAGCCCTTTTTTGTATTGGGTATTTTTGAGATAGAGTTTTGCGAACTATTTGACTGGGCTGCCTTCGAACCATGATCCTGAGTAACTAGTATTACAGGTGTGAGCTAAGGATCCCTGGCTCATGCTGGCTTGTTTTAAAAAGCTAAATTCAGGGTTGCGAGATTGGCTCAAGTGGCAGAGCACCTGCTCTTTGAACCTAAGTTCAAACTCTAGTATCTCAGAAAACAAAAAAGAAAAGAAAAAATAAAAGCTAAATTCAGCTATCTGGTATTTTTTCAAGTCAGAGTGGATGAGAATATGAAAAACAAAAAATTAAGGACTAAAATGTAAACTAAACTTTTATGTTTTTAGGTATCAGTTAAAAAGAAATTTCAGTTTAAAGTGTATGATAGGAAAATACTAAAATAAAAGCCAGTGAGCATATTAATATCAAGCACATGAAACTTTACTACTACAAAGATACCACCAGGAGATAGTGTATTAATGAGCAGTCAGGAATTAAGAATCCAAGCAATTGGGTTCAAATTATGGTCTTATCACTAACTAGCTATGTGAGCTTGGGCGAGTAACTTGGGTAGTAACTCTGTGTCTCAGTCTCTTGTCTATAAAATTTGTACAATAATAGTGTTCGTGTCACAGGATTTCTGTGATAATTTGATGAGTTAATGTATATTAAATGTGTAACACAATGTCTGGCCCACAGTAAGAGGTATTATTTTTGTTATTAATAATATTAAGGATAGGGAGGTTATAACATAATGAAGAAATACTTATTTTGCTAGAAGATATTTAAAAATATATGCAATTGATAAAGGAGCATCAGAATATATAAAGCAAAAAATGATAGCACCTCTGAAAGAAACTGATAAAAAAACTATCCTTATGTGAGATTTCAATCCATTTCTCTCAATTATTGATGGATCAAACATCTAAAAATCCACAAATCTTTAGAAGATTTGAATAAGAGAATTAACAAGTATATGTATTAAACAATTAGCTAAATAATATTTTTCTAATGCATACATAGATCATTTAAGTTGACCATACACTAGGCATGAATCATGTCTTAGAACATGTCCAGGTACTGATATCAACTACTTTCTGAGACCAGAGTACAATGATAGAAGTGACCACTGGAATAGAAAAGAAAGCCTGGAAACAGACCTTCAGCTACATGGAAACTTGACATGATGCCATGGCATTGCAGATCAATGGAAAAATAAGACACTAGTCAATAAATCTTGCAAGGACATTTATCCATGTGGAAGAAAATTTAATTGGATTTTTATTTCTTTATAAATGCAAAACTCAGTTCAGCTAGATCTAAAGGTTAAGTGTAAAAGGCAAAACTGAAACTTCTGGAAAGAATATGAGAGAATATAGATTTGGGAGTAGAGAAAGAGTTCGTTAAAAGATATACAAAACAAAAATCACAAAGGATAAGCTGATAAACTCAAATACATTAAAATTAAGAAAGGGATAAATTCAAATACATTAAGATTAAGAAACCATTGAAAGACTAGAAAGAAAGTTGCAAAGGCAAGTCATGAAGTGGGAGAAAAGATTTGTAATAATGGATATAAACTGATTAAAGAGTGTATTCAGAATGAAATAAATAAAAAACTCTTACAAATAAATAAGACTAGTAACCCAGTGGGAAAGTAAGCAAAAGATATGAATGGAGGGGAAAAAAAAAACCACAAACAGACCTTTTCTAGACTGAATGAAAGACATGAGTATGAATAATTAGTATTAGTATTGAACCTTGTTAGTAATGAAGGTAATGCAAATTAATACCAAAATATGATCTATTTTACACCCACTGAACTGGCAAAAATTAATAATTCTAAATGCTGATTATATGCTGGATTAAGGATGAATTTGTACTACCACTTTCGAAAACAAGTTGGTACTTTCTTATGAACTCATGCTTCCTATATGATTTGTCTTTCTCTTTCCAAGTATATCGCCTAGAAATTTTTTTTCCACATTCACTGGAGACGTGAATAAGTATATCTGTGAGGTTATTGATCACATGTACAAAATTTAGTACTACCTCAACACTTACCAATAGGAGAATAGATAAACATCAGGGAGTTCTGAGTCTAGAGGAGAAGACAGTCAAGAAAACAGACTGTTCCAACTATAAAAATTTTTTTCTAATAAAATAGGATGTACCTAACCCAAACAGATAAAGCCAAAGAATGCTACCTGGGGAAAGTAAAATTTGCATTCATTTTAAATAATGAGGAATAAAACAGCTAATCAGACAAAAAGTATGGCAAAGTATGGAACACAGGAACCATTCTTTTGCTAGGCTTGGTGGCACAGAATTTGGGGGGTGCTGAAGCAAGAAGATCAAGAGTTCAAGGCCAGCCTGGGCTACATAGTGAGACCCTGTCTCAAAAAATAAAAGGGAAAAAAGAACCGTTCTTTGTTCTTACAGCTTACCTCCTTAGACATAAATTTGTATCAACACCTATAAATTTGTATCAACATCTACACAAAACACACACACAGAGGCATGCACATACCCTGCGTGTACTTTCAAAATATCCTGTTTTAAAGCAACCATATTCCAATGCAGATATATAGATTAGCTTTTTCATTCGTGCATCTAGCTATCCAATCAGACAAGAGTGGGAATTACATCTCTTATTAACTGCTTCATACCCAATATTTAGCACAGTGCCTGGCACAGAGTACATGCTCAGAAAATACTTGCCTAATGAATTAATGAAGTTGGAACAAACGTGAAAATTTAGAAATACAGGACAGCCTTTGAGTTAAAATTTTCCCAGTAGTATAACATGGATTACCAGAAAACAGTTTTAAGCTGGAGGGTGAAGGGTTTTGTGAGATGATCGCATTTGCGCCTTAGAAAGTTCAGCGAATTAACCTCACTGGAGATAAAATGGCCACTCAGGGAGTTATCAGTGATCTAGGACTATGACTGTGCAGTGGGAAAGGAACAGCAAAAGCAGCATGAGAGTTATGGGGACAGAGCAGCAGGGAGGGCCAGCATGAGAAGAGGAGTGAAGGGCAATGTCCAGGGTTTGGGGCAACAGTGTTTACTGCAATAATCATACCATACGGGTTACAAGAAGGAGGTTCGGATGGGAAGGACTGACATCAAGATGTCAGGAGCATCTTGAGCCTTAGATGGAGCTGTCCTTCAGGCTTACCCGGAGCTCAGGGGAGACATCTGACCTGAAAATGTACATTCTGATATCATTTACATAATGAGTATACTGGAAACCCTGGGTGTAGGTGTGAACATTCAAGATCAAAGAAAGGAGCATGGCTTGATGGTTCATTCCTGTGATTGCAGCTACTCAGCAGGCTAAGGCAGGGTAAATTTGAGGCCAGCTTGGGTAACTTAGTGAGACCCAGTCTCAAAAATAAAATACAAGGCTGGAGAGGTAGCTCAGTGGTAGAGTGCTTGACTAACATGCATGAGGCCCTGAGTTCAATCCCTAGTATTGAAAAAAAAAAAAGGATATTAAGAACACATAACATTTAAAACATGAGTGGTAAAAATAGATCTCTCTCTCTCTCTCTCTCTCTCCCACACACACACACACACACACACACACACACACACTTTAGGAGTAGTAGACAAAGAGGAATAAGAAAAAATGATAACGTAGAAACGTAGGATAAAGTTGGTACATTTTTTTCCTTTGGAGGATGGCATGATCAACATTTTAAGGCCAAGTGTGGTAAGAATGTAAATGTTTCCACAAGATTTAACAAAAGAGTTATTAATCCTCTTACAAAGCTTAGTGCACTGGCATGATAGGAGCAGAAGTCTAATTGCAGCATACAGGGAAAGATGAATGAAGATGAGCAGGTGACCTTCACTGTCAGCCATGTGGCTGAGAAGAAAAGAAAGATAACAAGTAGCTAGAGAGGGCACACTGAGTCTAAAGAGCCTTCCTTTTTTATAGCTGTTTAGTCCTTGAAAACAGAGGTTCTGTCAAAAAGTCCTTGCTATCTTGCATTTTGCCTTCTTCATGGAGATCATTAAATAAATGTGTTGAGAAAGAATTTCAAATCTCTAGATTCAAAGATGAAATAAAATCAGAATGTGAAACTCTACTGCCACTGGATTACGACCACTGTTGAAGTATCTATGCTATTCATTGTCTTCTCGTTGTAGCAGGGATGGCATATCCATTTTCCATTCAGTCCTCAAGGATCTGGAGAGATGACTCTGATGGCATTTAATAAAGCATCAGAAATTGGGTCAAATGTTGGCAGGGATGACCAGTAAATTGACTTACTTTGGCTCTTTTTCACTCATGTCCACATCATCATAGATAATAACTTCCTGAGACTTAGGTTCTAGGATCAAGATAGGATCAAAATCATGCATTATTAAGTATACTTTATACAAATGCTGGTTTTCAAATTATACACAATTATTCAGGTGTTTTATCAAATCTAATTATATAAATAGGCTGGAACAAAAAGATTCTCTTGAGAAGAAATTTAACTGAGGGATTAAATAGTGAGGTATCCTAGTATCTCAAGTATATATGTGTTCATACCATTACATATATGTCCATACCAATTTGATTTAATCTAGAGTTCAGAAAAACAAGTTTCTGAAAGAATAATTTTTAGACTAGGTTCATATATTTCTGGAACTGGAAAAAACATTTATGCTAGAGAATATTGAGAGGGCCTTTCTTAGTATCCAATGGAGGGAAAAACTTAGTATATAATCATAATTAGACATTTTCAGTATACAATATACACATTCCTTAGCACTCTAAATGAAGTTCCATGCCTTTCAGGTTGGTGCCACTAAAACAAGTTTGAGACTTTTTAATATAATTATTGATATTCATATTCAATCATCCATGATTACCACTTTAGCCATTTTCTTCAACACCTTTAAATTTGCATGGGGACATAAGTTGAATCTTCCTTACTTGAAGTGCTTGTGAGCAGAAATTTCAGACTTTTAAATCTTTGGAGTTATGGAATATTTGCAAATATATAATCAGATATCTTGAGAATAGGGATGAGACCCAAATTTAGACTCTAAATGTGTTTGTTTCATATGTAAGTCATGTTTTCACTATAACCTGTTACATGAGGTCAGGTATGACCTTTTCTACTTTAGATGTCAGGTCAACACTCAAAAGGCTTCATATTTAAATTGTGGAATGCACACCTCTTCCAAGTTGGCTGTTTTTTTGTTTTTTTTTCACACAGACCAAGAGTATATTAGGAGACCTGGAATTTTATCAGATATACATAGTCTTTGTTATTTAGTTTGACAAACTCAGATTTGTGAAGTATAATATGCATCTGAACTGCTGAATCAGAGTTAAATAAAAGTTTATGGCTACATCCCATAAACAAAAAACAGTGAACAACAAAACACACAGTACTCTTTTTATTGACAAATTCAATGCATTGGACATGCACAGAGAGCATACTATGTGTCAGTGATAATTTGTGCACTGTGTTTTAATGGCAAAACAAACAATGCTCCAGTGACTCATTTTGATTCAGTGTGTAGGCTGCAACATGTTCATATTCAATTTATTACACCTTAATCAATTGATCTGGCTATCAAATCCATCAATAGGCATGTGATATAATACAAAATGCATGAGATCACTAAAGCATGGCTGTGGGTCCTGAGCCTCCATACAAAGGGAGGCTAACATGTCTTTCTCTGGGATTTTAAGAGGCGAGCATCTACCTCAGGGTGCCTGAGAGACTTTTCTCATCTTTCCCAAGGAAGAAATACCACTGTGTAAGATAGCTTCTGTTATTTTGGTAGACCCATTTTTCACTGAATGTGGGCAGGCAGAAGATTACATTTCTTTTCTTATTCTGCCCCTGAAAATGCCAATGCTGAAAACACCAGTACTTTTGGTTAGCAGCAAGTAAGCATCACTTACCTAAGTCTGGCAGGGAAATGGACAAAGGCCTGTTGATTGACAAAAGACACAAAAAGGTCAACGGCAAAGCCGTGTTCAGAAAGATTAGCTGACACATCTCAGATAGCATATTGATGGCCAGATGTTCTAATCCAGATGATGCCTCTAGGCAAGGATGTGAAGCAACCTCCTGCAACCTTGTTCTGATAACCTGCTCCGTACACACACACTGAGTGACTATACCCCATTTTGTAACTAGATAACTTCAGGCTGCCCCACAGTCCTGACCTTGTCTAGCCAGACGATCTTGTTTCTGTCTGTTCACCTTCTAAGAGGCCCAGAAGATACACTCAGTGTGCCTTAAGTATTCGTGGGACAGAACAAGCTTCAGATGAATTAATGGGGACCCTCTGTGCACACTGCACCCTGGGCTGTTTATGTCAAAGGGGTACCTGTGGGGAGAAATCCAGGCCAGGTGCCCATGCAAGATGGTGGATTGCTAGGTAGGAGAGGATATTTGTTCTAGCTAAATTGCTTGGTGTTCTCACTGCTGAGATCTCACTGCTGAGATCATCACATATAAAGAAATATGACATGATATTTTAAAGCCTTAACTTAAATTCAATCCCACAGGTATTTTTGCAGCACCCACCATGGTCCCCTGTCTCTTCACTGCCAGTTGATTGGGAACCTCGCTGAAGTGTCGTTAGCGGAGGTTACTGTAGAGGGTCCTTTCAGGTCTCAGACTTTGAGATACACAAACTATCAGCAGTGCATCTCATCTTCCCTTCTACACATTGCTGCTCTCAAAAGAGACAAATGAAAACTAGAAGCATATTCAAATAATACAACTGGATTGTAGGGCCAGTGACACATAAAAGGACATAATTGATAATATACTGCTTAGCCATAATGACCTGAATAGATGCCAGACTTTCTGTTCTAGATCTTGCTTAAGACTTTCCCTCTGCCCTTGCTTACAACTTTTTCACATCACTTTTTTTCAAAAGGAACATGTGACTTTCTCATTGGTATCTGTGGGCGTGGTTCACTCAGGGCCTTGGATTTTAGTTTCTGATATTCACTTCACTGTTTCTGAGAACTGAATGGAGAACATCAAGCTGTAAGTCTCCCAGGCCAGCACTGTCACTGTCCTCCAGGAATTGAGGCAAAAGGGACTTTTTACCTTACATTTTCTTTTGACTTGGTTTTCTTCATTTTAAATCTGTCTTTTTCTTTTTTAAGAATCGCTGTAGTCGTCTGAGTGTTTCTTTTCCATCTAAACTAAGAGGAATCACAGGATAAATAACATGACATTGGTGAGAATACTAGAGATGGAAGGCCGTTTTATACAAAGGACCACAGGCTTCTATCTCCTTTCCAAAACACACCCCATTCACAGAAGCACAAGAAAGTGTCTTATCAACCATCATGCTTTTCCTTGCAGAGTTTATGGAGCACTGTCTTCCTTTTAGAGGAGAACATGACTCAGTTAAAAACTGTGTGAGAAATACATGAGAGGAGTTCCTGGCTCCTGAAGTTCACACCACTGAGTTTTGTTTGTTTTTGACTTACAGTAATATAATGACTTCCTGGTTAATAATTAAAACTCTTCCAGATGCTCTTTCCAGTTGCCCTTTTGAGGTTTTTGTGGGCGGGATAGGGGGAAAGGATTGATAGACTTATCCTACCCCATGGCCAGCTCAGGATGCCCTTTTCCCTCCAATCCTTGAACCTCTCACTTTTGACCACTGTTTTTCTTTCCATAAATGTGTGCGTTATAGCTACATTTGACAAACAATATGTATTTTATTGCCCTTGATAGCAGAGAATTACTAGATATTAAATAAAGTCTAAATCCCAGAGACTGCCTTATTAATTTGTGAAGTCTAAAGTAAATTACAGTATTGTTTTGTTACTGGAAAAGTAACACCAGAATTGAAGCAAGTTTTAGAGATGTTTACTCTCTTTTCTCACTCATTCTTTAATGGAATAGCAAATTTTCCCACTCTGGGAAATGGACTTTTCTCAGAAGAGAGAAAAAGGTAATTTAAATTTTATGGCTTATGTATTTAATTGCCATAGTTCTAAGTTTATATTTTCGTTACTCTTTAGTTAATAACTGTTTTCCCTCCTAGATTGTTGCTTAACTTCTGTTCATTTCCCCTCCCACACACCAGTATAATGTCAGGTAATGTGAAATATTATCGGTCAAAATTTTAGTTAGAATGAGTGAGTCTAGGAGATGGATTACACAATTGCTACATTGCGAACAAGATAGTAAATATTTTTAAAATTGCTTAGAGTACGTTTTAAAGGTTCTCACCACCAAAAATGACTCATACCTAACTACAAATATCTTATTGATCACAGTGTAGAATTACAGTACCTTGTCACTCTTGTGCGTATTTCCTGAAGGATGTGGTGGTGTAGGGGGTCACTTCTTAAACTAGTTTACTAAACACACAGGAAATATCATTAATTTACAAATCCAAGAAAAAAGAAACTCACTCTACTTTGGGGTGGTTGCTCTTTGTTTTGTAGATATCTTCATACATTTCTTCACTATTTTCTTCTGAAATTAAAAAAAAAAAAACTTATTTTTTCAAAGGCTGTCTCACTCTGTAGCCCAGGATTCTGTGGGCCTCCCAAGTGCTAGTACACACTACTATATCCAGCATCAGATTACTATTTAGCCAAAAATCAATGGACACCTACTAGGTGCTTGGTATTTTCATCTTTTTTTAGTTAAGTAGTTTTTATTGTACATGTTTTCATAAGCAGATAACAAAAATACATACATCTCTACAAAGGCATGTATAAATGAAAGAAGACTCATTTCCACCCTGATTCCAAGTCTGATCTAGTCTGGCCAAACAACGTTAATCAACAGATTCCTTCCTTTTACCCTCCCTCCTTCCCATATTTATTACATAGTAATTGGAATTTTCTAAACAGGAGACATTGTGCCAAATGCTGGGGATACAAAGGAAACCCAGATACATTTTGAGTAATGTTTCCTTTCATAGCATGGCTTTAGGCTGGCCAACACAGAAGATTCATACATACAGATAATATGCTGATTCAACCCTGGCAATAGGGTCTAATGGAAATAACACTGGATTAAAGAGCTGAATTCCAAGGGTTGAAACTTGACTCTCATAATGAGCATAAAGTCGCTTAATTTCTCTGTACCTCAGTTTCCCTTTCAGAATGAGGGTGTTGTGTTTAACATTTCTAGGGATGAATTCCATTGAAAATTCTGGAATTCTAATGAGAGAACCAACCAGAATAACATTTGACTATCCCTACATTACCTTTTCTTTTTTTGAGTATCTTTTTTTTTTAATTGACAAAAGTTATATATACTTTAGCAAAAGGACTGGGTATGTATGGAGGAAGTGGTAGAATGCTTGTCTAGAAAGTAGGAGGCCTCATGTTCAATGCAAAAAATAAAGACTTTTAGGAAGCCATGAAGCCACTTTAAGTAAAAACATTCCACTAATCCGACTCACATTGTGAAGAGATAGGGAAGGAAGAAATTTCACAGCAAAGCTGCTTTTATCAGAAGTACATCCTTATCAGAATCTTCACCTTCCCTACCCTAAGTGCATCTATTAGCATACACTTTGAGACCGCTTTTCTTAGCTTACCATCACCCCACCCAGTTTATATTACTAAAAATATGTATAATTAAAAGACTCCAATTGCTCATCAGTCACAGAAGTGCTCTGCAGTTCTTACTGGCAGTTTCAGAAATGTCTTCCGATACTCACCACTATCAGAGGCAAGTGAGCTAGACAAGTCCAACTTTGGTCTGTGGGAGAAAGGGTACAAGACCATCAACCTGTTGCCCCTTAAAGTTCCATCACATTCATTTGCTGAGAGGCTGGAGTGTACTTACACATCTGTCCTGGGGGACTCCACATCATCATACATCTCCTCTGAGAGGGAACTTGACCTCAAGGCCCCAGGGTCTGGGGTTTCTTTAATCACCTCCAAAGCCTTCACATACCCTGCTGTGAGAAAAACAGAGGATGCCCTGAGAGCATTTCATCAGCTGGTATCAGGAAGACATCAACACACATCACCAGCAATGCTGGCACATGATAAAATGTGTTAAAATCGGAAGGTAATCTTGGTGTGTATGATCCTTGGACAATTCACTTCATCTTGTGCAGCCTCAGTTATAACTCTGAGGTTGGGGACAATGATAACAGCACCCACTCTTATGTGATAGTGGCAAGGACTAAATTTATGACAGGTGCTGGTTCCCTAGTTAACCAATAACTCCTTCTCCTTTGATGGTTCTTTAATCTCTGATCTCAAATGTTAAAGTTCTCCTGGGGATAGCCCTGGGATTTCCTCTAGGTCTAAAGAGGATTATCCAGTTTTGTGGCAATTATTTTTTCTTAAAAAAGTTTTTCCAGCAAGTTAATTGAATGTGTTTAAAAATGTATTATGTGTTAATGATGGAATCATCCAGAAGATTGTGTGCCCAGCTAAAAAAACATATAGGACTTGTTTGTCCAGGTAGCTGGCCTGCTAAATGGAGATGCTGGCTTATTTCTCAGAGCTATAAACTTGTCATAACCATAATACTGTCACTTCCCAATCAGTTGGCATAGGCTAATATTTAGGGTATGGGTGATTCAGAGCCATTTTCAGATATGAACTGTTCATCAGAAGAAAGAAGTAGTACATTGGAAAAATAAGCAATAAGCAAAGTGACTTGTATCTGTGAATTAAATGAACCAAACAAGATTTTATTCTCTGCCAAGAAACACGGAGGCTCATCCATCTTAAAGATTGTCAACTCCCAGAGGCAAAAGGCCCTGCCTTTTCTCAAGAAGTTATTGGAAAATTTCCCCAGCATGAAATAAAGATGCTAAACACATAGTTGGGATAATTTTTACTTTGTAATCCTTTCTATTGGCTGAGGCAGATGAGAAATTTTATGTTATTTTAAAAACAGCTTAAACCCTGGTGCTACCAAAAAGAAAAAGTCAAATTGAGGGGGGACTAATATATTGTACAATACTGAACATTAATACCACATGCACTGAGAAGGTGAATAATGTCAAAGCATTTTAAGGTTTTTAATTGTTTATGAAAAGAATAACTATTTACTTTATCCCAAAAAAAGTGAGAAGAGCTAGGACATACTTATCAAATGATATGGTTAAAGAATTGAGAAAGTAAGTCACAGAGTGGGAGAAGATATTTGTATAATGTATATATACATTTGACCCAGAGCTCATAGAGGGAACATCCAAATCTTTTATAAATGCTCTTGTATTCAGAAAATATAAAGTAAAAATCAGTCATTAAAAAATGAAAGAAGAGCCAGGCACTGGTGGCTCATGCCTATAATCCTAGCTACTCAGGAAGCAGAGATCAGGAGGATCATGGCTCGAAGCTAGGCCCAGCAAATAGTTCACACGACCCTATCTTGAAAAAACCCTTCACAATAAAAGGCTGGTAGAGTAGCTCAAGGTGTACTTGTACTGAGTTCAAACCCCAGTACTGCAAAAGAAAAGGGAAGGGGAGGGGAGGAAAAGAAAGAGGGCCAGGTGCCAGTGGCTCATGCCTATAATCCTAGCTTACTTTGAAGGCTGAGATCAGGAGAGTTGCAGTTCACGGCCAGCCTGGACAAATAGTTCACAAGACCCCATCTCCAAAATAAACACAACAAAATGGACTGAAGGTGTGGCTTAAGTGATAAAGCACCTGCTTTATAAATGCAAAGCCCTGAATTCAAATTCCAATCCCACCAAAAAAAAAAAAAAAAAGGAGGACTGGGGCTGTAGGTCGGGACAGAGCACTTTTCTAGTGTGCACAAGGCCCCAGAGGAAAAGGAAAGAAATGGGAAGAGAAGGGAGAAATGAAAAAAGAAAGAAATATCGTGTTCTGGCTACCCACTCATGTTGAAAATTTAACAGGAAGCCTCTTGTTTCCTTGTAGGCTGTGTGTCTTTCCTATTGGTCTGCTTTTAAGGTTTTTGAGATATTTTCTTATTGTCCAATGTTCCTCAGATTCTTTGAGGTAACAGTATTTTCCTTTACTCAGTACCAAGTTCCAAATGGGAGATCCCCTTTGCCTAAGAGGACTTGTTCATTCTGCGTTCTGCTATGGTTTGGATAAGTGTCCCCCAAAGGCCCATGTGTTGAAGGCTTAGTCTCTAGCCCTCAGCACTATTGGGAGCTGATAGGACCTTTAAGGGGTGGGGCTTAGTGGGTGTCTTCTGGTCGTGGGGGTGTGCCCTTGAAGGGGCTATTGGGACTACATTCCCTTCTCTTCTTTCTTTGCTTCTCTGCTGCCATGAGCTGAGCAGCTTGTTCACTACACATGCCTGCCATGATGTGCTGCCACAGGCCCAAAGGAAATGGCCATGTGACCATGGACTGAAACCTCTGAAACCACAGGCTCAAATAGACCTCAGAGCTGATTATCGCAGGTATTTGTTACAGTAACAGGAAGCTAACTAACAGTGGGTCCCAACTTTATGCAAGAGTCTCCTATGATAAACTTGGTTTGGGCAGGCCTGGGGACACATCTATCTCTGCACACTTTGAAGACAGGTAGGAGCTTTGGGAATTCCATCTCAGCAAAAACCCCCAGGGAAAATGCAAACTTTGGCACTCACTCCCCAGGGCATCTGCTCTGTGGATGCTTTCTTTACTTCCACAATGCTTTTATTAATGTTTAAAAACATTTGTTCTACACTTTACTCATTTTAATCAAGAGACTGATTCAGATTGTCTAATCCACCCATATTCTCAGAAACTGAAGTTTGATTTATTCCTTCATTTCTACACTCAACAAAATTTTGTTTGGTAGCCCCTTTGTGCCAGACAGTGTGCCAGGGTTACAGAGATACAGAAAATAATCATAAATTATTTGGATGTCAAAGTACACACAGATAAACCATGAATTGTATGGAAGACAAGATACAACTTTTTAAAAACAGAAAATGGATGAAGAGACCTAGTAGTTATTCAACACATGAAGAAGATGCTTTATATTTTATTGACAAATGGCCCTAGGAAATAAGTAGCATTATCTCTATTTGTACATGAAAGTAAGTAAATTACCTGAAGTTGCAGGGCTAATACTTAGTGGTCCTGGGTCTCAGAAATGTTTGCCTCCCAGTCTTAATATGGAAATGTAGTCATTTGGTGACTGTTACTGTTACTGTTACTGTAGGAGTGAGGAATCATGGTCTCTGGAGAATGAATGAGAAACAGGAAGATGGACTGAAGGTAAGGCAGGGCTTAGAAGTGACATTTGGGAGAGAGTTGAAAGGTGAACAGGACACCGATAGGTAGAGAATGGGCAAAGACACCCAGAGGAACCCAAGCCAAATTTTTGGGCTACGTAAACACACTGGATGCTCAGGACACTGACACTCTCTGGAGCACAGAATGTGCAAGGAGGCAGGTGTGTGACACAGGAAAGGCCAATGAGACTGGAGGCAGATTTTAAGGGTCTTCAGTTCATCTTATGATTGCTGAAGGTGTGTTCTTCCCATTCTGACTATAACACATTGTAAAACATCAGTGGCTTGCCATGGCTCATCAGCTGAAGTGGGTAACTGTTTTCTTCATCTGCCCAGCATCTACTTCTTTCCTTCTGATAACAGCTGTCTTGTTTTCTTGGGGAATGCTCTTATCGAATGGTATATCATTTGGTAGAACTGACTCTACCCCCAGATCCAAGGGACTAGAATCAGGCAGATTCTACCCTTTTGCCTCCACAAAAATGGAGTCACTAGAGAGAGGAACAAAGTCAGAGGAGAAAAAGTGATATTGAATCCTTGTGATATTAACTGTGACCTTGGATTCAGCCACACCTAGACTTTCTACTTTAATTTTTTGGTTTGACAGAATATGGTTTAATTACTACGTTTGCACTCAAAAGTCTTGGCTAACATGAAGGCAAAATGCAACCTAATAAAGTTACCAAATGATGCTATACACATCCGAGTATCAATGTCATGAAGCCTACAAAGACAATAGGAGCTATAGATATAAAAAGGATCAACCTATCATATGATATACTGTCAGATCTGGTCCCCGTGAAACCTCTGTGAAGTCCCTATTATGATTCCCTTTTATAAATGAAGAAAGTGAACCAGAGGAATATGAAGTCACTTATCACCTAGTTATTAAATATTAGAGTGTAGATTTGAACTCAAGTCCTCAGTTTCTAAGTCAAGTGCTCTTTCCACTACTGCAGATAGCTCACTTGGACAAGTTACTTGGTACGTAATAGATGTTCAATAAATATTTGTGAAGTAAATTACAATCTTGCTCATACTCAGCTTCAAAACAATTCAGTAACAGTGAAGATCAGGAAGAAATGCAACTTACTCTGGCCTTGGGAGTACCTGGCCAGCCTCCTGTCCTCAGGACAGAGTTTCACCTGGATGATGTCAGTCATGACTTTCTGCTTTTCATCTGGAATGCTCCTTCTATCTTGGTGGTCTCTGGTCATCTGAATCTTTCCAGGTGTCCCTGCAAAGTCACCTACCTATAGATACACAACAGGAGACTAAGGCAGGGCTCTGACTTACCCAATGAGTTCTTCGCTTATGTATGCTGTTCTTTACTTATTCATTCCTTATGGATAACAGCCATTTTTATTATTATTTAATGCTATATTATTAGAGACTTACAGTCTTACAGTGCACATTCCATGTCTTTCATTTACTTTCGAATGGCCAATGAATTTCTGGCATAGAGATAGGTAGTCAGGATATAATTGAGCACTGAACACAAGGCAGGCTCTTTATATATTCCATCTCAATTTTCATGACACCCCATGAGGAAAATATTATTAATCCTCTTGATAAAGACTTTAAGGAGGTTAAATAACTGGTCTCTGTTCCCACAATTAGTAATCTACTGATTACTCTGTGCTTTTGACAATAAGGAGACTGGGTTTTCCTTCTCCTTTCCTTCTGTTTGCTTGACATTTTGCCTTTTGTCCACCATTCTTCTGACTTCTCACTTCTTTCTGCACTTCCTCCCTCTGACATTTGTTAACTCCTATCAAAGGTGAGACAACATGTAAAGCTCTGACAGTAGAGATTCACTGGACTGTGTCCTACACTGGGTGTGGAGATGACACTCACAAGGAGTTAGGCTGTAATGTGATGCTGTTTACAGAAGTATTACTTACAGCCATGGAAACAGGAGAGGGAAGTTGGTTCTCTTGGCTAGGATTTGGAGTTAAATCCTAACACCCATCTGTGGCTTTCCTTCTACCTCCTAGCCTTGACACCCAATGTTCCACCCTGGCCCTGGCCCCTGTCTTTCTTAAACAATGACTTACTACATCTTTTGAATTATGCTGCTTTGCAGTAATCTCTACATTCCCAGTCTCACCTAGCCTTGACTATGGACCTATCCACCAGTTCAGGCCAACTCTACCAACATACTGTTTTAGCCTTATAGATGGTACTGGGAAAATCTGCTGTTGAAAGACAGCCCCACTTCAATCAGGCACCTTGAATGCTGAAGCATAGGTAGTAACCCTGTGGCTTCTATTGTTTAAGCTTACCACCACAGCAGCTACTTTGAAGGGGAAAATGTCCACTCAGGGTGGATGTTAACACATCTACATGTTTACTTTTCATAAAAGGATCAGTGGTACATTTTTATGGTAACTTATATCTTACAAAAAGCTTATGTGTATGAATTGTTTCATTTTATCATCACAAATAAGACAGGATTAGGATGGGAATGGAAATGGTAGGTGGGTAGGGATTCGTACTCGGACTTTTTTAATAGATGGAGAATGGTCTTTGGAGAAGACCAAATTCAAAAATAAGTCATTCTTCTAAGAAGGGCCTTAGGGCACAAAATTTATGGAGCTTCTTACTCTAGGGTTTGAATTTGTCCCCCAAATTTCATGTATTGGAGATTTAACCCCCAAATTCAGATGCTAATGGTGTTTAGAGGTGGAACCTTTGGGAGGAGATTGGACCCATTCAAGCATTATGGGTTATCACAGGAGTAACTGTCTTAAAGCAGCTCTCTCTGGCTTGCTTGCTCTGACTCACCCTCTGCCATGTTATCATGTAGCAAGAAGGTCCTCATCAGGAAGGTCCTCAGACACCAGTACCATGTTCTTTGACTCCTCAGCCTCCAGAACTATGAGCTAAATACATTTCTATTCTTTACAAATTACTCAGTCTTAGGTATTTCATTATAACAACAAAAAATGGACTAAGATAGACAACTTCTGAGAGTGCATACCTTTGTACTTTGTACCCTGGTACAAATGGTACCCTTGCTGAACTTACCCTAGTTCCAATACTGCTTCTAAGGCATCCCTCCTGGGTAACACATGGAAAATGGATGGGTAGAACTCAGCTTTTCCACATTCACTTACTTGATAAAGCACCAACACCCCGCATCTTCTGATTCTGTCTCCCTGGAGAGCTGCTGTCTTAGTCTCTAAAATGTCATCTTGTGAACCGATTCTATACATGTCTGAAATATGCCAGAAAGTTTAGCACACAGATACCTTCAAGGGATGGTTTGAATGTGGATCCTTTCCTGCTTTCTCAGGTTCTAATTCACATGGCTCTTTTTCCTTCATATTTTTATCTTCATTTTCATGTCTAGGACTGAAAAAGTGAAGATGAGAGTGTTGAAATGATGGTATGTTGCTCATTCCTAAGTGAAACTAAAGAGAAAAATGAATTTACACAGACACTATTTTTTTTCAGATAAGGGACCAGGGTCAGATCAACCATACAGATAGCAGATAGCTTTCATGAGTTTCTGCCTGCTCTAGTCAATGCCACCGTGTCAATTCCTACTGAAAATCTATTAAGTCTCCATTGCCTATAGGACATGATCTGGCGCCTACCTCCCTTTCCCACTGCTGACAAATAGAAGACCCTCCTCTGAGAATCTTCCCTTACTTCTCAAAAGTAGTCATACTATGTATTTCCTCATACTTTATTCTACCTTATTGGATTATAATATGCCTACCTATGTATTTATCTTCAATTCTTTATCTTTGCCTTGATGACAGTTTGCTGAGTGCAGCACGGACTACTTTGAGATGAGAGAGGAGGTCAGGGTGGGATCACCAAATGTCTGCTCCTCACCAGGTATTTTACAAGGTGCTGGGGAGAAAGAACCAGACCTGGCACTGGCTGGAAGAGGAAAACTAGCTTGGTCCTGAGAGGGTCAGTGTTTAAACAAGTGATTTCATTTTTGAAAATAAAACTCACCTTAGTTGTTGATGGAGAAAATTTTTCAAAGGCTAAAAGCAAAGAAAAAAAAACAGTCATATTCACAAATCCTTCCAAATTAGGCTCTATTGTTATGGGTTATTTGAAGACTAGATCAAAAGATGAGGGGTGAGGTCTCAGGACATATTCAAGGCAGAGTGACCACAGAAAGTTCCATGTGGAGCTGAAGATCAATCAGAAAAGAAAACAAGTATTTCTGAAGTTATGGTAACACACTTGAGGGCATGCATGATTTGACTTAGACAAATAATTTGTTCTCTGCACACCTTTCTAGGAATGACTCCAAATGAAGAAATGAGTTGTGTGAGGAAATATGCATGTGTGGTATTTGAGCAATGTGTCAGTGCACAAAATTGGCACAGGCAAGTAGGTAAATAGTGCTGGGATTTTCCCTTACTCATAATCAGAATCAGCCCTTTCATGCTCTACACATGGTTTCATTACAATTATGTCCCAGTGATCATAACAGAGCCCCTCATTTATTCAGTGGTCACATATCTGATTCCATTAATTATTTAGAAGCTAGCCAAGAACCCTAAAAAAAAAAAACACACACAAAATAAGCATCCAAAATGCCACAACAAAATCCAGGCCTATAGCTCCTATACTCTCCTTTGAGGTGAGCCCGGAAGGCCTTTGTTCAGGGATTTTACTTCATATTTACATCTAATTCTAGCAAACTAGATATGGCACTGATAGAATGACAAGTCAGATCGACCTTGTTTTAGATCTCTGCTACATTAATTACAGGTTACTTAACTGCTTTGAGCCTTCATGTTTCCCTCTATAATATGGAAGCAGTGCTACCAGCTCCTAGGACAAGTGTGAGGGCTGAATGCTAGTGTGTAATTGTTGACTAGAAGGAGGATCCAACAAAGATGTTGATAACAGGTAGAAATGACAATTGTCAGAAAAGAAAACAATTACAGGAAATAGTTGTGGTGGTTTGGTGTGAAGACTACTAGTTCTTCCAAGATCATCTTGTAAAAGCATGAATTATGCCCACTCAGATGTACGTTCAAGAGTATCCCAAGTCACCAAGAAAAGATGAAATTGGGCTCCACTTATCAAGCTTAAAAATATTCAATAAAACATATCTGAGGTTTAAAAGATTAAAAATTAAAAATGCTTTCAAGTTGTATTTTTTGAAAGGGATGAGATCTGGTCATTTGGAGAGTCACTGGTGCAGAACAGTTTATTACTGTGGAAGTTGCCAGGTATTAATAGCAAAAATCATACTTTTCCAGTTATAAACTGCATCCACAAATGAACAATTTTTAGCAGCAAGCAGAAGAAAACCAAAGCAAAGAAGATCTAGACTAAATATACTCAGTGAGGAAAGAATAGAAATTTAACTGACCCCATGAAAGCATTAGGTAAACACCTACTGTGTGCCAGAGTCTGTATTAAGTGCTCACATGCTTTGCCTTAGTTCTCACAGTAATTTAGTGAAATAGATCGTTCTCCTTATTTACTGAGGGTCTACTACTGCAGACACAGTAATAAGACACATGCTTCCTGTCCCCATGGAGAGCATAGCATTTTACAGAGGACAGAACTCTAGAGGCTCCAAGAAGTGAAATGCTGAGTTCTAGGAATTTACTGTTCACCTGTGCTTTTACCTTGTGCTCATCCTCACAAGGAATCTGGATGCAGATGCTTTGTTCTTGCATTTTCCAGGTGGGAAATGGAGATTCAGTATCACATAGCCAGGAGCAGTGACTGAGGCCAGCAGTGATTCTGCTTGGGCTGATCAAATTGCTACATCCCCTCCAAGGTGACACTAGCACCATGTCCAGCTGGAGTCAGAAAGTGTGCCTTCTAGGGGCTGGTTGCTTTCTTGAAAGCCCAAGACATACAGATTTGGATTATACCAAAGGACTCTGCCCTCTGAAAAGGCCAATTGGTGCTGGCCACCACAGAAAAGGGACTAGGAGTAGGTCAGACTGTCTCCTCTTACCCCATTACACATTTTTTTTGACTGCTATTACAGGACTCAGAATCTTAACCACAAACCAAAACACTTTGTCTCACAAAGGAAAGTACTTGAAAATCAGTTTTACTCTTAGTTATAATATTGGTAAGGAGAAAAGATACAATACCTTTTGGAGTTCTTCAATTTCAACTTCATAAGTTACTAAAATATAAAATATTTCAAATCAGTTTTATTCAAGATTAGAGTTCACTGATTTCTGCAATGCTCTACCTACATGGTTGGGGAAATTCTGGGATCACTGATCATAGTTTGAATTTCTGTGGGGATTTCCAGGGTGGACTTTATAGTCAACAAAACCATTTTTTTACAGTTGTATGAAACAGTTTTTTGAGTTTCCTGGTTTGGTAAATAGATAGGTACTTCCTGCTTAAAAGAAATCACTGAAAATTACTGGTAGCATGTAGAAGGCAAACTTGAAAGAAAAAAAGGGCTAATAACAGCCTAAATATGCTTCAAGGAAATATACTCCATCTTGTGCCTCCAGGTGCTTTGTTTTCTTTAAACAGAGCTTGAAAAGAGGTGCCCACTGAGACTTAAAAATCCTCCAATTTTTCTGATAGCTGTGTGGATTTTATTTAATGACACCAAGACTACCATAATTATTAGCAAATACAAGTAGTGATAAGAATTTGGACTAAAATCCTGTCCTGCCACTTATTACCTGTGGCACATTCATGTGTGAAATGGCCAATCAGAACCTGCTTTATAGGTATTAGCAGTGTTATAGGTCTAGCTGACCACAGGACATTTTTTTCCAAAGTGACATTTTTTTTTTTTTTTGCTTAGAAGTTATCTGTTCATTCTCTTTCCTTACTGTTAATAAGTACATGTGTGCATGATAAGCAGGGCTCTTCTCTCTGTTCCTTTTCTTTCTTGCTGCTAGAGTTCTAAAGCTTTTATTAGAAAACTGACAAAGCAACATGTTGCATTTCTAGGCTTATTAAAAAACATAAAATACATCAGTAAAATAAATAAAATCCTAGGTTTTCCTTCAGGACCATGAGCACATGCACATGGTTGTGATACACAGACTCAAAATTGTACATGGATGGTTAATAAAAGTATTTAATAAAATTTAATAAAAATTCAGTTTTTAAAGATTTGTATGAATTTTTATGGAAGAAGATATGACCAATAAAAATATAAAGGGAATTCCACTTTCTTAGCAATTCAGGAAAAATAAATTAAAACC